TGACCCGTCTTTATATGTCCTCCCTGTAAGCTCGGCGACCCGTCTTTATATCCTCCATGTAAGCTAGGCGACCCGTCTTTATATGTCCTCCCTATAGGCTAGGCGACCCGTCTTTATATGTCCTCCCTATAAGCTAGGCGACCCGTCTTTATATGTCCCCTCTATAAGCTAGGCGACGTCTTTGCAAAGATTCTAAAATGCAGACATGAAGAGGTGAGTCTTTATGTCCCTCTTGAACTTGGCCAGGGTTTTGGACTTCCTAATAGCAGATGGTAAGCTATTCCACAACGTAGCCGAAACCCTCCAAAAGCATTTGTTTCCGTAGGTCACAGTACGAGATTTTGGGACACACAACAAAGATTCTGACTCCGACCGCAGTGATCTTGACGGCTGATACAGGGTAACAAGTTCCTGTAGGTACTGAGGAGCTGTTCCATTCAGTGCCTTGTATGTGTATACCAGAATTTTGTACTGCGGCCTGGTATTGTTCAGGTAACCAGTGCAACGAATAAAGCGCAGGTGTGATGTGCTCTGTCTTTCGAGTACGAGTTACTAGCCGTGCTGCAGTGTTCTGAACCCTCTGCAGACAACTAGTTAGTTTGTCAGATATACCACAGAGCAGGGCGTTACCATAATCCAACCGAGAGGTAACAAGTGAATGCACCAAAATCTTGCATGCATCTGCAGTTAGAAACTGCCGAATACAGCCGATGTTCCTGATCTGGTAGTAACAGGATTTGGCAATAGCGTTCACTTGTTTCTCCATGTTCAGAGAACTGTCAAAGTATACCCCTAGGTTTTTAACAGCTGGAACAGTCTCAATAGTTCTGGCACCAACCTTGAGCTGGAGAGCCATTGTTTGCTGACANTCCGTCTTTATATGTCCTACCTATAAGCTAGGCGACCCGTCTTTATATGTCCTCCCTGTAAGCTAGGCGACCCGTCTTTATATGTCCTCCCTGTAAGCTAGGCGACCCGTCTTTATATGTCCTCCCTATAAGCTAGGCGACCCGTCTTTATATGTCCTCCCTATAAGCTAGGCGACCCGTCTTTATATGTCCTCCCTGTAAGCTAGGCGACCCGTCTTTATATGTCCTCCCTGTAAGCTAGGCGACCCGTCTTTATATGTCCTCCCTATAAGCTAGGCGACCCGTCTTTATATGTCCTCCCTATAAGCTNCCAAACAAACAAACAAAAAATCTATCAAACTTTTCCTAATCTGATTGATTTTTCCTCGTTAACACTCGTTGCGTGCGTACACACCACTTTTAAAGATAAATATTATTGCACAATCAATAAAAATATAGTTTTCTTCCAAATTTGAGATCCTCACATAGTGACTTGCGACCAGTTCGGAGAGGCAATCTGGGGTTAGGTCGGGCAACTTTGGAAGCATTATAATTATGACGTCATAAATATTCAACGTCAGGTTTTCCCGCCAATTTCACGATTTTCCATTTATGTGATATGGACCGAACCTGCTCCAAATTGATATTTCAATGTATTCAAAAAATTACAGCAATATAAAAGTCATTGGCTTTTATGTATACCATATCATGCGAAGTTGTCATTACGTTCACGTACGTGTTACACGTATGACATTAATTCAGTGTAGCAAAGTATTTGGATTAATTGTAAGCTTTAAGCTTTGTTTACATTGTGTGCGAATTGAAAGAAATAAAATAAAGTTTACACTAAGTATAGCGATTCGGTTAGTGATAGAAAAAGAAAGGCAGGCCATATAGCTTAAATTGGAGAAATATCTAGTATGGTTTAAATTCTTTATACTTTCCCATCAGTAACTTTCTCCTCTATTTTAATAATTGATTTCTCCTCGCCATTTTTTTCATGTAAATTAATTAATGTCCCGCCCAGTCTTGAACCGTTCAGATCATCAAGGTCTGAAATATTTGTTCAAGACCAAAAGTATCACATGGGTGGTCGGACTTACTCCGGGGACAAAAGCGAACTTGCCCCGATCTCCCCTAGAATCTTCTAGAAAACAAGCATTTTTTGCCAGTTCGAGAAAAACTTGATCTTTCCAGAAAAGTAAAATTAAAACAACGCGGCACATATGTTTACCTGAAAATACCACAGACACTGTACGTCTTTTTTTCCAGAATTATCCTTTAACGTTCTTCCCTTTAGACTGTGAAGCCACCGGGCAGATTCACCACAGGCGTATCAAATTAATTAAGTGACGAAAAATGCACGAAAAAAGAACACAAGAACACTGAAAACGATAGAAAAAGAAAAATGTTAACAATTTTGACTAAAAAATATTTGTTTATCTCTTGATTTGTTGTTGACTATGTAAATGACATTAAATAAAGATTATTTGATTTCATTGGAAAATATCAAAAACTGTTGACAATAAATAAATTAACGGTTAGTCGTTAATTATTTATTTTTTAAATGTAAATCAAGGAAAACGGGTTTTTTGAACATTAAAATTTCAATCCATCCCGTAATTTTTTTATGCAGAAGAAAAGGATTTTGATCGAACATTCCATTAGATCTTTTAATTCAAATGTACGTTAAATTAGTTCATCGTCAATTTTGGTAACCATGTATATATATCTACTTACGGATCGACTTGACATTATAATATATATAAATTATATATATATATATATATATGTTCGAGCGATACTTTATAGTTGTCTCTCTTCTGTCAGAAATCTTTTCTGTTGGAGGCGTAACGCAAACCAAAAACGAATTAGCCAATCAAATTGACGCTTTCAGCATTGGCAAACAACAACAGAGAAGTGCAGGGATTGTCAACCGAACGGTAGAGGGGGGTTTCATCCAGGAAAAATTAGATGAATTTCAAGTAAATTACCTCAGAAGCATAACCAAATGGGGAAGAGAGGTGAGTTATATTTCTTTATAAGCAGCAAAATGCATATTTAGTAACATTCTGCCGATGAATAACAACGAAATAATGGTATAGACCGATCACTCGTCTGTCGGCCAGACAAGTTTCGACAGATGTTTTTATACAAAATTAATGAAGGATTTTCACTTGATGAGGTCAATCCTGGTAATTGCATTGCTTTTATGGGTTAGGCGTTAATTAAGACATCGACACAAATCAATACACAAGACTCGTCATTTTGAAAAGAAAATGCATTTCACTATTTGGTGATATTTTATTGTTTTCTGACCTGCTCAAACAAGTATGAGTTTACCGCCGATTCCATCAAAATATTATTGTAGCATTGTGTCTAGTTTGTGTCCTACTAAGCCTTCACCTAATCGGGGAAAAAATGTTCGATAAAGTGTGTTCAGTCAATAAAATCATACTTAGTCATTTAAATTTGGTTAGACAAAGAAAGAAAGCAAATGCAAATTGATTTTCAGCCGGATAATTAATCCTTGTTTTGCTCACACTGACTGTCATCGTATCAGTTTTGCTGCAGTAGTGTACTCGCATATATATTTGAATATGTGTTTCCAGAAAGGGGCATAGTAGTTATTAATTGGTAAAATTGAACTGTTTAATGCAGGCCTTACTTGGTCACAGGATATCAAAATGACAATGTCTTGACATTTTACAAAATACAACAGTAATAATTACAGAGGACACTACATTGTATATTTTTTTGACATAGCATATCACGATACTTTCCGGCTCCAATGTACATGTGGAATACATTGTCGAATCTAGGCTACAATGAGTCCCAAATTAATTTGATGGGCTCCTTTTAATATTGCAAGGCTGCAGACATTCATAGAAACACATACTTAACATCTTTTTGAAATTTCCATGGGCGAGATTACGTATGCTCAGAATTAAAAGCATAAATAAAGTGTGTGTAGGTATACGTACATCCAGGTAAAACAAATACACTTTTAAGTGGCATCTTTTGAGCTGATATTTCAGATGAAATCATCAGATCATTGAAAAAAGGAATAGTTTATAAAATTCACTGGTGGAAACTGCTAAATTTTCTAAGGTTAAAAAATCGGGAGTCTCCCACCAGAATTGGGAGAGTTAGCAAGTATGGAAACATTAATTTTGTATTTAGTTAAAAATTCACAAATTTTATAACTTAAATAGGAAAATTTTAAACTTTTTTCAAAAAGATCGCTTAACATTCTTTGTTATTTTTATAACTTGTACACCCTACAGTTTAAAACTGGTTAATTACAACCTCATTTGTTTAGGCGTGTCTGCTGACAAGGGCCTGCGGCCAACCTCTCCTGTCCATGTCCATGTGGATGATGATATCCCAATTCATGTCCATGTAAAACAAAAAGGGAAGTCAAAGACAAGAAAGGTGGGTTAGTCCATAGTGACATTTCACCGTCATATATGTAATTAAAAATTATACACTTGAACCATATAAATTAATGAAACAAGCTGCAGCAAGTGCTGTAAGTAAGTTGTGTTTCATCAATGAAGGTTCACTTAATGTTTTTATTTCATAAGATAATAACAGATATAATGTGATAACAGCTAGCTACAGCTTTGTCTAAATAAAGGTATAAAAAAGTCCTATGAAACAGATCAAACACCAGGTTATATATGCGTGGATTCGGCTGTGCTCCACTGTTCCTTAATGCTTTTTCTAGTGTAAAAAAAAATCATTTTTAGTGTGCAAGTATGCATTCAATAGTGTACAGACCCTCAAGTCCTGAAATGTCCCCAGAACCATTGACACTATTTTGATACACTGTCAATTTTTCTGGAAGGAGGGGTTTAATTATTTCAATATATCTTACCCTCAGAGCGTCCGAGACTTGACTACTACAGTAGAAATGATATTGCATCCAAGCAAACATTTCTTACTGTTTGTATTGTTGTTTCACCATTTTTAATTCATAACTGAAGCATGTTATATATTCATGCTTCAGAATACAGAAAAGTAAAGGGAACTCTTGTTTGTTTCTTTTTCCATTGCCCCAGCTGTTCAACTGACTTAAATTTTACAACAGTATCACATAATTTTTTATTCAGCTAAAACTGCAGTATAAATTAAACTAAACTTGTTATTAGACATAGGAATACAATGTAACATTTTAGTCAGAAAGTAACTTTTGCTAGTTTTTTAATCGTTGAATCACTTAACTTGTTATCTGTAACTATTTCATCTGTCCAGGTTCCGTCAGTGGGAGGACCAGTAAGGCCAGCCTTGTCCAAAAGAAGCACTGCCTCTGCAAGAAGCAAAAGTCCTGGAGGAGCATGGGTTCCGCCTCCAGGCAAGGCCACTAAGGGGTCAAAGGTCACTTGGCAGGTAGGTCAAGGTCATTGCTCATTGATCTTGCACTTGCAGCTTTTAACAGATAATTCAAATAAGACATGATAATTAAAATATGATTTTTGAAATTATTCATTAATACTACATACAATGTGTCTTAATTTTGTTCAAAGGTTTAAAGAGAATTTGATTATCAGGACATTTATAGTCTTGCTGTTCTTTCATTTACACTTCGAGGTTCCAGAAGCAAGCTTGATTGTAATGATACTTCAAGCAAGACTTAAAGTTATGATATGATGCTGGTATGTTATGAAACGATTAGCATACAGTGTATATCACCAGAAGATGTCCTTCATCAAGGAATAACATTTCAAAAATCGTATGGGTGCATATATAATCAAGAACTAATTTAATGACAAGTGAATGTCACAATACACCATCACAGTTGTTTTGTGATACCTGGAATGTATCATGACAAATCACTGCTTCAGTAAAGTTTTACAGTCCTAATAACCAGCTTATGTTGATTGCGTCTCTATCAGGGTTACTGTGTTCCTCGTCTGTGCAAAACTCGCACATACACGCCAAGACCGAGAAACCCACGTAAAACAAAAACCCATCGCTCCAGATCATATCGGGTGAATAAATGGCATGCTAAACTCTGCATCTGTTTCATGTGTTCACATTAGCATCACAAATAGATCTTAGATTGACAGACAACCAGTCCACTTGAAGCATTATGTAAAACAGTTTTTAATATTCAGTTTACTGGTAGGTGATCATTTTTATTTATTTTTTTGCCTTTTTTTCATTTATGACACACTTCATGAAACTCACTGCATGGATCAAAAGTAATCACAGCAACACCAAATTCACTGAAAGGAAGATACAGTTCTGATACTTTCCTCATACTCTTTTAGCAGTTGATGTTCAAGCAAGAAGTTTCTGAATGGACATTGACACATGTTTTATTTCAATATCAAAATCTGGATATTATGTAACTTCAATTTTACAGCTTGCTCACAGTGTTGTGAAATATTAACACGTTTTACGTACATGTGTTAAGAAATACAGTGACATGCTTGCCTGTGTTGTCATGTGTGCATGTACATGTTAGTACATCGTATTGTCTCAAGGATCATTGGCATTATTATCCAATAGCAATTATTTAAACAAAAAAATCAAAGTATATATTAATTATCATATAAACAGGCTTTTGATGGAATAACAAAGTCACATAAATGTTTATAGTGTACTAGGTAATAATTATATTTATCATATGAATACTGTGTTATACAGTGTCATAATGACATCACATAAATTATGTTTATTTATTACATACTTACAGGTTTTTTGTATATGCGATACGACAAAATTGCTCTTACCCATATCAGCCCTCGCCGTATCACACCCCAAAAGCAGTATCAGCCCGCAAAACCCGTATCACACCTCTTTTGGAAATTTTTCGTTTTTCAATATTTCAAAAGAAATAGCTTAAGATAGTAGCTTTTATTAGTAAGTATGTATTATTCTCTATGGAACGTGTGTAATATCACTGCAGAAATGACATCACAATCGAATAGGAACAATCAGTGTCTCGTCACGTCATTGTGAAGTGGACTAATTTTCATCATTTCAGAGGCGACCAATTTTCATCATTTCAGAGGCGACCAAGTGCAAAATATTTGTTTCATATCACAATTATACAGTTTACTTTGTATTATATAATAAGAAGAATCTGTCATGAATTTGTTTCCCTTCATATTAAATTTATGATACTCATTTTGGATTTTTCATATTTGCTCACCAGAGGCTCGCAAACATGAAAAATCCAAAACTTGTATCATAAATCTAATATGAAGAGAAACTTATGACAGATCCTCTATATAATTACCAATTGTGACATCACACGGGACATATTGCAATGGGGTCACAAAATCATCCACAGTGGCCAAACTGATGATGTTTTCCTTTGATATGTGCTGTTTAACATGCCTAGGTTGAGTACTGCTAAAGTTGTTTTTTCTAGTGGTTTGTGTCATTATTTTTTCAGTGAAAAATATGACCTGTGACATTACCAGCAAGTACCCATCTTAAGTGTGGCACTTTCTGCCATGATAACTACACATAGCATTTGTTAAAAAAATAGGATCCTGCAAAATGGACTAGTTTAGCAAATCCATGAAAACTAGGAATTGCGGGGGGAAAAAGACCGACACACAGTGTGTGATATTAGAACAACAATATTGATATAACCTACTGTACTTCACCTGGTCCCAGCTTGAATGCTAACCTTATCTGTGTTTCAGGGCCCCACCCATCGCCTAGAGATGAGCAACCCTCGTGAAACTCTTCACATGAGCGACTTAGACACAGATGAGGAAGAACAAGTCCATGGACAAATGAGGAACTACGAGAAGAAGATAGAGGGTCTCATGTCGGAGGTCGGGACGCTGAAGAATGAGGTAAGTGTGAAATCTAATTTTGTAAACAGTAAGCTAGGGTGTCACGGTCCACATTTATTCAGTTCGGTTCGTTATTATTAGCTCACCTGGTCCGAAGGACCAAGGTGAGCTTATGCCATACCGTGGCGTCCGTCGTCCGTCCGTCAACAATTTCTTTAAACGACTTCTTCTTCTTAACCACTGGTTGGAATTAAACTAAATTTGACTGTAAGTATCCCTAGGTGGTGGGGATTCAAAATTGTACAAATGGTGGGGCTGACCCCCCGGGCTAAGGGGTGGGGCCAATAAAATGTATTACTTGGAAATGGTTGAGATCCCCACCATATAACCATATATACAATTGCTGAGTATAAAGAGAAGAATGCACATTTGCTTCCAGGATGTCCCTAGGGTCTGGCCCCACCCTTGGAGACATAGTCCCTGGGCCATAACTTTAAAACGGTTGAGATCCCCACCCCAAAACTATATATACAAATGCTGGGCATAAAGAGACGAATGCAATCATGATATCAGAATAGACCCTGGGGTCTGACCGAACCCCTAGGGACCTAGTTTCTTAGTCACAGCTTGGAAACAGTTGAGAGCCCCACCCTATAACCGTATATATACAATTGCTGAGTATAAAGAGATGATTGCACATATGCTTCCAGGTTGGCCTTGGGGACTGCCCCACCCTTGGAGACTTAACCCCTGGGTCATAACTTTGAAATGGTTAATATCCCCACCCCAAAACTATATATACAATTGTTGGGCATAAAGAGACGAATGCAGTCATGACATTAGAATTGATCCCAGGGTCTGCCCCACCCTTGCAGACTTGGCCCCTGGGTCATAACTTTGAAACGGTTGAGATCCCCACCCCAAAACTATATATACAAATGCTTGGCAAAAAGAGACAAATGCAGTCACAATATTAGAATCGATCCTGGGGTCTGGCCACAACTCTAGGGACCTAGTTTCTGAGTCAAAGCTTGGAAACAGTTGAGATCCCCACCCCATAACCATACATAAAATTGCTGGGCATGAAAAATGTAATATAGCTATGCTACAAGGATTGGCCTTGGGGTCTGGCCTATTCCCTTGATCTCATTTTGAGAATAGTTTGTCATGATTGCTTAGGTAGGTATCCAGGTGAGCGATACAGGCCCTCTGGTTTTTATGTCTGTTTTCGATTATTTCGGTTCGATTCAGGCAACTTTGTAATCTTTGATGAAGAAATCAAAATGATACCAAACTTGTAATTTTTATTTCGTTGAAGTCGCTATGTCTAAACTATCCTAAACAGATCAGTGGTACCTATCATTATGGTTGGCACGACTACATAGGCAAAGGCGTTACAGTGTATCGTTTGAGTTAAAACACAAACAATACACGCCTTTGCTACTTATTCAAGATCACACCGAAATATGAAAATTGCAAACCGCACTGAACCGTGGGATTTTGACCCGCGCTTAACCATGACACTCTTAGCAAACAGTGATGCAAATAATATACATTTATATACACATCTTTACAGGAAGGGATAACTGTAATTGCATTTGACTTGAGGTTATGAACAGTGAATTAATCAAAAAAATTGTAACACCCCAAACCCCCACCCTCCACCCTGTCCGCAAGATATAGTTCAGTTAAAGAACAGGACATTTGCTTTTCTTACAGAAAGTTTTTGAATCCATGTACGCAAGAAACAAGACTGCTTGAATTGGTTTTTGTGTCATTGCTTGTTTCGTTTCTGACCACAGGCTGAGCTGCAAAAAACACTGAAGGAGATGGTACATAAGGATGACTTACTACACGCTTCACGGCATGTGATGCATGAACAGGAACGAGAGCTAGATGAGTATAAAGATGAGCTGGACATCACTGAACACGAGAACCAAATCCTTCGACGGAGCATGGAGAACCTTAATGATGAAGCTGCCTACTCAAGGTGGGCATGAGTATGGCTTTGCCTTCAGAGCTTGATGCAATATGTTTCATAATAATTGTTAGCCCCCACACAAATATCATTCTATTTTATAAAATGCTTTTGATGACATCAGTATGTGTGATTTCGATTCCTGAAGATATAGCACCGCGGGTTAATATTAGTATAAGTATTTATTTTATAAGATTTCTTTTATTTTGATAGTAAAAATATTACTTCAAATACATAACTGTTGATTTTCATAGAAAAGTGGTATTTGCTAATTGTATACCGTAATAAGATGTAGAATCTAATTTAGAATAAGTTGATGTTTAGTGATTTTGTCTGACAAATAGAATAATTCTTAAAATTGACAGTAGTTTTGCTTTTTTCAACAGACTTGAAGTTAGTATTGCATCAGGGGAAAGAGAGAAGTTGATGAAGAAACTCATTGAAGTGGAAATGGATGGCCAAACAGCAGTGAAACACATTGGAGAATTACGGGATGTAGTACGCAGGCTACGAGAGGTACAAACAATTCTATGTGTTAAGGAAGGATAAGAGGGGTGCATTCATTTTTGGGGTTTAAAGAGGAACGAGAGGAATGAGAAAGTAGGGAGGTGTGAAAAGATCATGTATATATTACATTTTTGCCAGTGAAATATCGGATTCCATCAACTTGATAAAACTGATATCTTTCACACTGTGACAAATATCAAAAGAGATATTTTCTCACTGTGAAAATATCACTTTTTGGTATTGACCAATCATAACGGTATCTTCTTTTCGCTGCATTCAAAGGCAACATTTTTTTGTTCAGATTCAAATGAAGCGACGGTAGAATAAGTGGTTGTTATGGTAGATGTTTGGTACACACACTTAAATATTTACATGAATATACAATTAATAACATTTTCATAAGCAATCACACCAGATAATAGCAGATAACGTACAAATTGCATTGAGTATCCCATTCAAAATGGCGCACAGCCTTGTTGTTAAGCGTGACGTCATTAGAATATGGCGCTAATTATTATGCTTCTGATTCCCGCCCTTTTTTAATGCATTACATTTTTCATGTTTTATGCTTTAAAAATGTAATAAATAGAAAATTAATGGTGTCTTCAGTAATAACAAATATATTTGTTATGACTGAAGACACCATTCAATATCATCTATATATCTAGATCCGAAGTATTGCAATGTGGCAGCAGATCTATTTTGGTTTCTTCAATGTCCCATAAGTAGAAGACACAGAAGAAAGCCCCTGATTCTGCATGGGGACCCACATCAGTTGCCTCATACAATAGCATACAGTGACATGCAGCGAGATTATTATACCACAAACCTATATGTACATGGGTTGTGCATTTATCGTTTAACACCAATACTGCATTAAAAATATAAAAAAAAATCACTGCTCTGATATGAAGTAGAATGATCTGTTCAATAAGTGTAAGGAATATTTCTGATTTGGCCCCAGTTAAATGAACACTCTCTAGATCAAAGTAAGGTAAAATCTTAATTTTAGAAAGTTTTTCATCACTTCAGTAGGATTTTCATATGGTAAAGTTCTGATATATTTACCCTGTGTTTTGGTTGATACAAGTGTTAACAAAAATAGTACATTTTCAGGATACCAAACTTTCTCATACTTTTTTTCAGGAAAACAAACTTACTCATGGTGACAGTGTACGGTATGGCAAACAGAAAGACATTCTCCTGGAGAAACTTGCTGATTTCGAGGCCACAAACCGCACATTAAGACGGCTGCTAAGGGAACAGCATCATGCAGAGGCTGCCGCTCTCAGAATGGGGGAGCAGAGAGATGGTTTGGTGATGAAACTTTCTGACTCGGAGAGGCAAAATGAGGTAGGTTTATCAGTTCATAGGTTTTCATTGAAAAACATTCTGTTAGGTATTCATTTCCTTTATATTTGGATTATTAATCTCATGAAAATCATCAGAGAAGTTGATAAGAACACATTTCAAGACTTTTGAAAATATTGAAACGAAGTACAGTGTATAAACATTATGATTTGGTTCAGTAAAAAAGCTTATATTGATGTAATTCAAAACTTTGGTCAGTTGCAATGATAAGGTACATGTATATACTGTGCTGTATATAATATATATATAGGATCTTACATGAGTTATCATTTCATATGCGATAAATTTATGAAAGGAGTCTTAAGAATTTTTCAATTTAGCGAGACTGGCAAGCTAAAATGAAAAAATTGTGACGAGTTTCATAAATTTCATGCGAAATGTAAACGAGTGTAAGATCCTTTTAATCACATGACCAAGATTTGTGGCATTTATTAGTGTAAAACGACAATTTTCATGCAACCTTGAAATGTAAAAAGCCGCCATTTTGACTCCTTTGCGTACGTCAGTGACGTCATATACCTGTCCTAGGTGTGAAGTCACAATTGAAACTTACAACCAATCACAGGGCTGATAGGTCATAATATTGCATTGGTTAATACGCCAAAAAATATGACATTGGTATATTCACTGGATAACACAGTACATTATGTGATAAATGTAAACAATTTATTGTACTCAATCTCTGATTTGAAAAACACAACAACAAAAAACCTGTTCATGAATGTATGTATCCTTAGGTATAATAAATACTATCCTGAGAGTGACAATGCAAACTTGTAAAGTGAAACAATCCAGATAACTGCCTAAAACTTTACATCCCTTCACAAAAGTTTTTACTGACTTGATGAACTTGGTACCTTCTATTTGATTGACAGCCAGTGAGATCCCTATTGAGATACAACAGGGTTGGTAATAAGCATCTGTATGTCTGTTCCAATAGTCACCAGAATCTGTTGTGTTTTATGTTCATGCATGTGTATGTAAACAAAGGGATATGTACAAAATACATGTAGGAATCACCCTTAGATATTTTGTTATGTGAAAGAATGATGCAGCATGAATGTATGTCTTCTGATGATGCCATTGAAAAGAGACTTGATAAAGTACTCTCTCTAACTGCATCCTCCATGTATAAGTTCTTAACATTTTGCATTCTTTGTAAACTATTCATGTTTTTCACAAAGAAAAATTGTTTGTTTCACAATTATTTTGCATTTGATACTTTTATACACAATTTTGAGTTATCATGGCTAAGTTGTAAACATAATTTTAAAGTCTGTTACCAGGAAGAATTTTATTTTTGGTGACGGCTTCAAACAGCATAACACTTTATAGTTTATTTATTATTATTACAGAAATCGCCTTCACATATTTTACAGAGCCACCCATCAGGTTCACACACAAGGTTCTATCTTTAATGCTACCACCTACACTATACATATGGTTAGTGTAAAAGGGTTATGCTATCTTCCTTTACAACCGTGATTTGTGTGAGAGTTAAGTTTATATGTTTATGACACATTATGCCTGTGATTTGTGTACTTGTAGGGGTTAAGGTTATATGCTACCAAACACATTATACAATTTTTGTTAAAGTTAAGGTTATGTGCTATCTTACTTACACATTGTACCTGTGATTTCTATTACAGTTATCTCCCTTGCAAAACTGAAACCAATCCAATAACTTATAGTTACCTGAGTGTTATTGATGCATGTGTTCTTGTGTATGTGTCAAATATGTCAATAGTTCATTTAATCAAGTTTGAATACTATTCTTAGGAGACTTAGTTGTGCAGAAGTCTTTTGGCAGGGTGCTTAATGTCACTGACAGGTGATAGATATTTTTATTACAGGAATAAAGCTCAAGACATAACAGTAAAAATGTTGCTATCTGTACTGTATCCCATGGCTGTTATGTCATCTTTGTCAAAATATTGTACCCTTTTGTCAAAATGTGTTATTTTGTTATCTTCAATTTTATCTGTCATATGTTAAGAAATATAAACATTGTTGCAATATAAATTATAATTAAGAATCGGGATTTGGTTTATAACCTGTATTTCATATGTTGTATGGTTGCAGCGGCTACGGATAGAATTAATGGACCGTGACCGTCTCATTGGAGATATGAGAGCCAACATTACTGCACAAAAGGTAGGTCATCTGATAATTGTCATATTATATAGTGTTCTATACCTAGATTTTAATGTAAAACACTGGCATTCACAAGCATAGTGACACCCATTAGATCAACACTCTTTTGTATTTGAAAATTCACTCACACATGTATACTATATAGTTCCTGAGACTCTATATAGATAATGGAGAATTTTTTATTCTAATGTAATTGGATAAAAACTTTGTCAACAAACAAGCTTTATATGGAAATATATATTATTTTGGTCTATTGACTCCAAACTAATTGGGAAACTTTCAGAACTTTTGGCTATCAGCTTATTATGCTTACACAAATCTACAGTGTAGAAATAATTCCACTCGTTGTAAAGAGTGGAAGGATGGACTTGTAACCAGGTTTTGATGGTCTTTCCTTGTTTTGGGTCAGCTGGAATTAGCAAAACGCAGAGGCTGTGGAACAAGGCCAAAATGCACAAAGTTAAAAACAAAACGGAAAAGGGTGAAAATATTCTACTTTTTTCCTTTAGTCTGTTTTGACTCTATTGAACTAATGTTTAATACTCAGATTTTATTTTTATTTTGAGATGTGCTTGAATTTCAAAACCTTTGTATAAAACTTGCTGGCTAGCTGACACACAACAACGGAGCCCTACAAATTACAGCAGGTGTCTGGAACGTTAAACTGTAGAGGCATCTGCTACAGTTATATAGATGCTGCTTCTTTCTTCCTTCATGTCAATTGACAAGTGTCAATTGTGAGCCTGTAGTTTCCTCTTTAGTCAATTGTCATCTTCTGGTTGCAAATTTCCAGTTTGCAACTGTCTTTTAAATATGAATTTACAGAAGTAAACCTCATCATTTCTTATTACTATTGCTATATATAGGTTGCATTGGAGCTAAATAATATTATTAAGGAAAAAAATAGAATAAATAATCTAATTACATGTATGTAATATTTCCCGAGTCACTTTCAATTTTGGATATGTTTTGAAATTCTTAAAAATCAACAATTTTAAGAAAATTATCTGTAGCTGGTCAATAGAAATATTAAATGAACAGGCTATTAAGTGATTTAACGGGGTGTATAAAATTACGAAGTTTTCAAGTGATTCCGTAATTACTGAAAAATGATGAGGTTTATTGCACAAAATACAAAATGTATGTGTATTAACATTCAACTGTGTTCTTATTAACCAGCCAAACTTTACTTATTCATAGCATGCATGATAATATAGTGCAAGATTTTCTGGAGGGGTGAGTTATTCTAATGTACTGAAGCAATAATAAAGTATTTTCTTACCGTAAACATAAAATATTAATGTGAACATAATTTTGAGGTTGTTAATTTGCTGAGGGATTTGAATTTGATCTTTAAGGTATAAATGCATGTTGTGTGTATACCTGTATATAGTTTGGAGATTTTTAGAGTGTTGCTTATGTAACAACTAGTGATCGGCAAATGATCAATTATGACCAGTTTGTCCTTTCCAATTTGGGTATTCAGTTCCATAAAATTATGAACCGATTTTACAATCGATCATCGATCGGTTTATTACTTCCGATTATAAACAAATTATGAATTTAAACCCGTTGCCCATCACTACAATAACAACACAGGAACACACCAGTTCTGATACTACTTTGTAGTACATCAAAACAATTTGTAAATCGTCAGTAGACCTTTCCTGTTTTTAATCTCCTCTTGTCATTTTCCTTTACCTCATCATTTTCTTCTACTTGTTCCTGACTGTTCCTTCCATTTCGCCTTCAGCTAACTCATCATTCTCACATACTTCTTCATTAAATCTTTATCATTTTCCTACTTTTCCTTTCCTCCTTTCTTTCTTGTACCTATTATATTTTTTATATCCCTTCTTTCTCGGGAGTTAACCTTCACTCCTAACTTTACTGATGTATATCTTAAGTTCACCAGAAATTGAGTACAGTTTTTAGGTCACCTGAGACAAAGTTTCAAGTGACCTATTGCGATCGCCTTTTGTCGTCGTCGTCCGTCGTCCGTCCGTAAACAATTTACAATTTCGACTTCTTCTCCAAAACCCCTGAACCAATTTCAATGAAATTTTGCAGAAACCTTCCATGGCCAAAGGTCAACAAAATTGTTGCCGGTTTGGTCCCCGGCCCCAAGGGGATTTCAAAAATCTTCTTCTCAAGACCCAGATATGGTAGAATCAAATACTCTTCATAGATGGAAGGGTCTTAAGGTGCTTTACCAAAATTGTGAATTTCTTGACACTGGGGTCTCACGTTTCCCCCTGGGGAGGGGGTAAACTTTACTATAGTTTATATAGGGAAATTACATTTTGGACCAACATTTGTTTAATTGCCATTGGAGGTAATTAAGTTTAGGTTAGCATTATCAGTATTGGGTAGTAGTTTGATGGTATGCACATATGAGCCCTGACTGACCCCCCGGGGCTGATGGGAGGGGCTAAAAAGGGTTGAATTGACTGAAATTTCAAAAATCTTCTTCTCAAGACCCAGATATGCTAGAATCAAACACTCTTCATAGATGAAAGGGTCTTAAGGAGTTTTACCGAAATTGTGAATTTCATGACACTGGGGTCTCACGTTTCCCCCTGGGGAGGGGGTAAACTTTACTATAGTTTATATAGGGAAATTACATTTTGGACCAACATTTGTTTAATTTCCATTGGAGGTAATTAAGTTTAGGTTAGCATTATCAGTATTGGGTAGTAGTTTGATGGTATGCACATATGAGACCTGACTGACTCCCCGGGGCTGATGGCAGGGGCTAAAAAGGGTTGAATTGACTGAAATTTCAAAAATCTTCTTCTCAAGACCCACATATGGTAGAATCAAATACTCTTCATAGAAGGAAGGGTCTTAAGGTTTATGACCCTAGGGTCTCACAATTACCCCCTGGGGAAGGAGGGGGGGGGGGGGGCAAAATTTATTATGGTTGATAATGGCAAATGATACTTTGAATATTACATGATAATAACTTGCTTGGAATTATAACCCTGAGTTGACAGTTTGATACTTTGAAAATTTTGAGCCAGCCCTATCCCCAAGGGCTGTAGGACTAGGGTGGGGCCCAAAGGAGTCAGTGTGCTAAAATTTCTTCATTTTCCTTGTTTAGAATCAGAGGTGCTAGTTTCAAATACTTTTTAGTAAAAACTTAAATCTGTATGCTAGATATTGAATAAGGTGGTTTTGTTGTTTTTTGTCACAGAATAATATTTCTGTTTGTGTTAAAAACAAAATCAACTCTCTGTATAAATATATCAGGTGACCGTTAAGGCCCATGGGCCTCTTGTTTATTAAACCAGTAGTCAGAGGAGTTAAATGTTCAAAATTACATTTAAATACCAGGTACATTTTAACGAAAAATAATATCATAGTGATGATTTGATCTTAATATTGAAACAGGCAGCTTAATCTTCAATCTTTCATCAAGGTGTTTTGCTAGTATGTGTGCTAGTTCTTTCATACTTTTAAAAGACATATTTACCTAAAGCAATTAACTCATTCACCCCTGAAACCACATCTGACCTCTTCCAATTCAAAGGTTGGAATAGTTCATTATGGTATTTCAGGGGTGAATGAGTTTAAGTTAATCTTCTAGAATTATTTAACTTTGCTTAACTAGAGTTAAAGTACATTGTATATTCACAGTTATATTTATGATGTATAGTTGTATATCCTTGTAACAATGACACGTGAATATATATATCCAATACATAAATACTCATTATTAAGATATATTTATATTAAAAATGTTAGTTGTATGATAGGTTTTCATCACATGGAGCTTGTTTTAAAGACCTTGTCGTTAAGTGTATATTGTTATGTGGTGCTAATTTACTGTCGTTGTACTGCCTCCCTACATTCTGTACTAGCTGTTAACCAAAACCCCAATATATTTACTTATTACATGTCTTCCTGCATCCTGTACTAGCCGTTAACCAATCCCAGCATATTTACTTATTATGTATATCTGTTAGCTTACAAAAACATATATACTACAATGTATATCAAATAAACCTTTTCTTGTACAAAAGTTGTACTTTTACCTACAGTGTTGCTTTGTGTTGTACCTTGTTTCATGTTCGTGACAAATTGTTCCGATGACTTGGTGTAATTTCTCGAAGCCCCTCCTTACCTATCCTATCCTGTTCCTGTCTCTTCGTAGGAGGAGAATATAGCTCTTAATGGACTCCAAACCACCCTAGAAAGTACTCGAGCACACTTACAAAAACAGCTGAGAACCAAAGAGGCCGACTGCAATCGAATGGCAGTGCAAATCAGGGTGAGTCAAGGGAGACAACTTACTTCAGAATATATAATTGAACAAAAGCTAATAAAGATCATTCATTTATGAAAAAGGCTATCATACACATTTCTTTATAATTTCTTACACTTTTTACACATGAGAAAATTGATGTTGCTAATAATGTTGCAAACCAGAACTGCATTATACAGGTATAAGTGCAAATAGGTCTTCCCTATCCCATATCTTTAACTCTCAAACTAAATAAAGCTGGTATTATTGTCTTAAATTGATTTATCTTTGAAAAAATAACTGTTATTTTGACATGAACTCTTACATTTGTTGCACGCAGAATCTGATTAGTGTCTTTATCTTATTTTTTACTGCTGTAGCTAGCAAATAGATGACTACTGGATTGGTTAATTTCATTTAGTTATTGCGCATGTGTTTTTTTTATCAGAGCAGAGCTTGTCAGTCTTTTTACTGATATTGTGCATGTTTCGATCAGAGCAGAGCTTTTCCATCATTTTTTTGTGCATGTTTTTGGATCCATGCACAGCTTGCCACCTTTACTTTACATTTAGATTTACAGTGATGCCTATAGGTTTTTATAGAAGCTGTTTTAGAGATTTTTTGTCCTGATTGTTATTCTGTTATGGTTTGTGTCCCTGAAAATATTATTTGTATTCTGTAATAAACTTAAGCACCACTTAGTCCTGGTTATGGAATAAATATAGTAATACACAAATACTTTATTTCAATTCACTTTCTTTAATTTTGTATATAATATTTTCTTTTTTTAGAAAATGGGCAAAAATGTGTTTATTTTAAAAAAATAGCACTAATTTCCAAACATGAAATATTCGGATTTTCATTTTTGCACATGAGCAAGTTTTGTTTTTTATTCCTAATTTTGTATCCATCTTTAATCTGTCACACCTGTGTTGTATATGCTCAGAGTAACCTGCATCATTTTCCTGAATGTCTGATGTGCTTCACTTTAATTTATAAATATTTCACAAAAAGTCAATTTGACATATATGATGTAACATTTAGTAATTACCATTGCATTTCCATACACTTTACAACCCTGCCAAACTCATTTTTTCATTTATATCAGTTATGAGTGCCATGGCATGCATGATCGGGTTGTGAGGTCATCAATATCATGGTGTCATAATGTGGGATACCACTGGTCCATCATGAAAGGATGCTGTTTTTGTCTCGTCATGACAAAGTTGCGGAAGCGTGACTAAGGTGTTGCTTTTCTGGCGGCCGCGTCAACATTAAGTTTTTGCGTTTAAGTTAGTTTCACTGAAAGTTTAAGTGCTAGACCAACAAAACATGGAACCAAGATGTATCTGAGGTAGTACATCTCAACCCATGCATCAAATGCTTGATGCGGCCTACACTAGTGTACCTTTCATGGTCCATTGACTTTGTTGTACAGTTCATGGTCCATTGACTTTGTCAGCATCTCCATCAACATTAAGTTTTTGCTTGACCAACCATTTAACTTACACCATACTTTGCATTGATGGTCAAAGCGGGGCACAGGCGAGACATATCAATCCGATTTGCTTGTCTATATATAACAATGCAAGCAGATATATATTATATAGGATACTCAATTCAATTTTCACTCAATGGTGAATATTGAAAATCAAATTCTTCTTCTTTGAAATAAGATATTCCAGAAAATCATAAAATTATTATAATAATAATAATAATAATATACAGCATTTATATAGCGCCCTATATAATTTGTAAAATTACTCTAAGGCGCTTTACAACATATGGATAATAGTAATGGTTATAATTGTGAAAACAAACAACAAAGGCTTGCAATCACTTTCATACATTTAACAAGCAATGTGCACATAATTGAACAAATAAAAGGGTGGTATTTACATGACGTCTTTGCAAAGATTCTAAAATGCAGACGTGAAGAGGTGAGTTTTTATGTCCCTCTTGAACTTGGCCAGGGTATTCGACTTCCTAATAGCAGATGGTAAGCTATTCCACAACGTAGCCGAAACCCTCCCAAAGCATCTGTTTCCGTAGGTCACAGTACGAGATTTTGGGACACACAACAAAGATTCTGACTCCGACCGCAGTGATCTTGACGGCTGATACAGGGTAACAAGTTCCTGTAGGTACTGAGGAGCTGTTCCATTCAGTGCCTTGTATGTGTATACCAGAATTTTGTACTGCGACCTGTATCGTACAGGTAACCAGTGCAACGAATAAAGCGCAGGTGTGATGTGCTCTCTCTTTCGAGTACGAGTAACTAGCCGTGCTGCAGTGTTCTGAACCCTCTGCAGACGACTAGTTAGTTTGTCAGATATACCACAGAGCAGGGCGTTACCATAATCCAACCGAGAGGTAACAAGTGAATGCACCAAAATCTTGCATGCATCTGCAGTTAGAAACTGCCGAATACAGCCGATGTTCCTGATCTGGTAGTAACAGGATTTGGCAATAGCGTTCACTTGTTTCTCCATGTTCAGAGAACTGTCAAAGTATACCCCTAGGTTTTTAACAGCTGGAACAGTCTCAATAGTTCTGGCACCAACCTTGAGCTGGAGAGCCATTGTTTGCTGACACTTTGGGGAAAAGACGATTAGTTCCGTCTTTTCCTGATTAAGTTTAAGCATGTTGGCGTTCATCCAGATACTGATATCTGTCAGACAAGCTTCCAGACTTTCTGAGACTGTATTCCAACTGTCCTGTGGTTTTATGACCATGTAAATTTGTGTGTCATCAGCATAGCAATGATAGCGAAGGCTATGGCGACGACAAATCTCTCCAATCGGTTTGGAGTACATACAATATTTTCGTGGTCCTAACACCGACCCTTGAGGAACCCCGAAATCTAGTACTTTGTCATGTGAGGTGGCAGATCCGATGGCAACACACTGTCGTCGTTCACTCAGGTATGACTGTATCCAGCATAGTGCGGTATCAGTCACTCCATAAGAGTATTCCAGACGTTTATAAAGTATGCCATGGTCGATGACGTCAAATGCAGCTGACAAGTCCAGCATGACAAGCACCGCTCTGCACTTGTTATCCAATGCAGAAGCTATATCACTATGTACACGTAGGAGGGCCGTCTCAGTAGAGTGTCCCATGCGGTAGGCCGATTGCATGTTGTCATGGAGACTGTTTGCATGGAGATGAACCTCTAAACGCCGGGACACAACCTTCTCCAAGATCTTAGACAGAAAAGGCAGATTTGAAACTGGGCGGTAGTTTTTCAACTCCTCCTTGTCCATTCCAGGCTTTTTTAACAATGGTCTGACATGTGCCTTCTTGAAACATAATGGAACCTTTGACTCAACCAATGATTTATTCATGATTGCGGTAATCAAAGGAAGCAGTGCTTCAAGACATTGCTTTAATAGGTCTGTAGGCAGTGGATCAAGCTCACAGGACTTCGATTGCGAGGTCATGATAATGTTGCGCAACTCGTCCTGTGTTGTTGGTGAGAGCTTTGTCAATGGTTCCCCATCAAATGCAATGTCATGATCAGCAGTCATGACAGAGATGTCAATGTCAGCAGAGGTGTTCACTTCGGTAATATTTTTCCTGATTGAGCTGATTTTATTCAGAAAGTAATGACTGAACTTGCTTGCTAAGTCTTTTTCAGAATTACAGCTTGGTAGGATAATTTCACCTTTCTGTCACATTAGGTTTTTGGTGAGTCTAAAAAGTTGTCTTTTATCCTTGCCACATCCTTCGATTTTTTCCGAATAATAAGCCTTCTTTGACTGAAAGAGCAGTAACCAACTAGCTGACATTGCTCTCTATAAATCAGTTGGTGAACGGTTAATTTGGTCCGTCGCCACTGTCTCTCTGCTTGTCTACGTTTCTGTTTTTCCACGCAGAGATTTTCATTATACCACAGGGCATTTGGTCTCACAGGTATCACCTTAGTTTGCAGAGGTGCGTGTTTCTCTATGAGGGCTTCTATACCAAATGTGTATGCTACAACAAGATCATCAACCTTGCCTTCAGAAGATTGAAGGCCGGAACAAGACTGAATGTCATTGTTGAAATCTGGTATTGAAATTTCGCGGAATTTCCGGAAGCTCACTTCTTTCCTTGCACGAGCTGCCTTACTACAATTCAGTGTTGTGTGGACAGCAAGATGATCACCAGATTGGTTCCCCTTTACATCACTTAGACATGGATCAATCACTGAAATAGCTCCTTGAATGACTGAGTTATCTTCCCTCGTTATGACCACATCCAGTGTGTGGCCATGGATGTGTGTAGCTTCTGTCACATGCTGAATCAGACCCCTGGAATCTAGTAGACCAGAGAACTGGCGAGCATCAACATTAGATAGTTTGTCTAAGTGGAAATTTAGATCACCTGTGATATAAGTGTTCAACTGCCTTCAGTTGGCATTCAAGATCATTGTGAATATGCCAAAGGAAACTTACTAATTCAACGTTTCCAGAAATGTTTACTTTATGTTATAGCCCCACCAATATTGTTAGGCTATGATAAAATAAACTAGGTATCTTTAATTGTTTTAAAAACTTTAAAATAGAAATTCTGCAATTTTCATTGGAGTTATGAGAAACCAATTTCAAATTTGTCCCACCGATTGTATAAAGTTCTACTCCCTTCATTTTATATAATGTTGATTCATTTTGATGCTTTAATAGATGGGGACATTAAATTAGCTTGTTAGCAAAAAAATAAAATAAAGACCCTACAGACATTTCTGCACGCTGTCCGGTTTTTCTGTGTATTTGTCTGCGAGAGCACCATATAATATTGAAGTCTGAGTCGTATTGTATTCTAGAAACAGACTAAAGTGTAATGATATTTATAATATTGAAATAATGTAATTAGCCTGAGAGAGAGTGTCACTTTTCTTTCAGACAATTGATGGATCAAAGGCCCAGGACAAGATAGAGATTGAGCACCTGACGGAGCTCCTATCCAATGCCAAGGAAAAGGCAGAACGTGACAAGGAGGCCCTCAAAAAGGCTACAAGGTTTGACTATTTCTTTACAGGAAATCTATAGAAACTACAGCTCTTGACTTTATCATGAATACAGCGTCTCTTGACAAGACCTTCTCTTGTGATATGTGAGATTATAGCTGAAGTGGTCAGATCCAACAGGTACCTACAGGTATATGTCTGGCTATAACATAGATTGCACTATGCTAGCGTTGACCGTTTCCCCGACGTAACTTCACCAGTTTGATGTTGTTTTCCTCCCTATTGCCTTGTCACTTCCCTGACCTTTGTTGATGTGTTTTCAACCTTCACAGAGCCTAACCTTGGTACCAAATGACTATATGTAGATAACTTCTTGTCTACAGAATTAAAACTAGATTCTGCTAGTCTTTTTCAATTTTTTTAATAATTTTGAAAAGACAAAAGAGAAAATCTAGTGTAGTTTCAATTTGTTTTATGGGTGGGTTTTTTTCTCTAAAAATTAACAATATTGTAAATTTGCTTGAAGCTACATTAATTTTTTTTTTATATATAAGAATAACTAGGTACGGTACTACTGGTACTTTTTTTTGGAATATGAAACAAAAAATATCATGTTTTTCATAGCATGGTTTCATACTAGAAAATTACTTAAAATTGCACTGAATTAGCAGCTGCTTTGTCAATAAAAGAGGTTTTTTTTAGACGTTCTAGCTGTTTTTTAGTTAAAAGCAAACTTGTAGATTTGCACTATGATAGATTAGCATTAATTTTTAGAATATATTTAAAGTATTTGAAACATTTGTTTTTATTTGAAGAAAAAAGTTGCATGACATTTGTAGTTACATTCTGATGTGTATTTGCTGTATGAAGTTATTTTGCATGAGGATTCTTTTGCTGAAAGCTTGCAGATGTTGATTGATTAGTGGCATGCATGGAATGGAATTGCAGTTACACATCAATTTAGAACTTAAAGTTGTTTACTGTATCATCTGTTTCAATTTTTTTATCCATGAAATATATATGTAGTTTGTGAATTAAAAATATTTTTGACTTGGTGGGTGGTATTTACAATCCTGCATGTAGTCTGGGTTTTGGTGAATCCTATTTTCTATATTCAATTTATGTACCATTAAGATACTTGGTGTTAGCTTTTCTACCCTTTAGGTAATGGTGTGGTACTCTCTGTAGAAATATTAAATTTAGTATTTACCATATTTCCTGACAGATGTAGGTATCTATAATAAAGTATAAATCATTCATTAACATTCTTCTTTTAAAACATATTTCAACAACATGCATCCTATGAAATTCAGAAATTGAATACAATTTCAAATAAGCTGATAAAAAAACCATGAAAATTTAACAATCGATTGTTGTTGAGAGATTATTTATTTATTATAAATGAATTTATCTTTACGATATGAGAATTCAATTTGGGTTTCAAAACAATAAACTAGTCTAGAGCTGCATAATATAAACTTTTCCGAGTGAAACAACAATTGAAATTTAAAATTTGTTTAAATATAAAGCTTGCAAGAAAAAGATTTTTAAGTACAGATGTACTTACATTTATTTATTTTATTATACATAAATTATACAGTTATAATATCAAATTAACAACATCGGAATGAAAATATACATATTTTTCTTTCCCAGAAAGAGAAATGTTTGGATAAATATTGAGCTTTCTATTTGAAATTTCGAGTGAAGTTTTCGGTATATCAGAATTTTCAGGTGTATTTTTACCTGTTTCGTCATCCCTCTACAGAGTACAGAAGCAGAGAGCTACCCGAAGTGAGGATGCTCTCGAACAGCTTAATATTCAAATGATGGAGCGTGATTCGCAGCTCGAGGATATGCGAACTCAGCTCGACCAGATGGGTCCGAGATACGATAAGCTTTCTAAGGAGAAATCACAGCTACTGGCAGAAAATTCTGCTCTTACCACGTAAGTTTAAGGTGGCACGCTGTATATTTTGTCCCCGTTTCGTCAGTAGTACAGAGTTAACTTAATATGACATTGTTTTGTATTGCACTTGATCTGTGTGCCCCCTGAAAGTCTAGTGTCTTTTCCTAAAGTACGACTACTACAAAAAAACAAAGAGAGAGAGAATCCAGAAATGTCATTTTAATAATAATAATAAAAAATATATTACTATTTAAACAATCTGCAAACTAGTTCAAAACATTCCTGAAAATTAAAGGTACGGGAGGATTAGGTGCATCAGTACTTATTCAATATAGTAAGAAGAACGATGAGCAAATATGGTATCATTACCACCATTGATATTGCTATATTGAAACATTTAGAGAGTCACTAAAGATATATAGAGTAACAGTGTATTTAGCTTCTCGGTTAAAATGTCAGGGTTTAACTAATTATTTACAACTAATTACAACACACTTAACACTTGTGTTTACTAATTAAACTGCACTGTTTGGGGTGTTGCTTCACTAACAGTACAGCTGTTTAACACTTGGTGAGAGCAGAAACTTATAACCAATGTCCAAACACATGCTTCACAGCAAATCATACTTCTGACTTCTGTTTCACAGTGAATGTTACAAAGATTATTAGTGCATATTTATGCATTTGATATTACAACTCCCAAACTGTGTGATATAGACAACCCAATTGCAAGTGATGGACTTGTTAGCTAGATGGAATTTCATTGGTAAAAAAGAAAGCATTTTTAAAATCATGAAAAAGCATTAAATGATCAGAATGTTTATTTTAGGATTAAGCTAAGATGATATTAAAGCTTTGCTGGCAATATCTAACAGCTTTGGTGGCTATGTGTGGTGTATATTTAGGCTAAAATGCTGTCTGTCTGTTTTGAGACGTAGAAATACAGCTCTACCTGCTTATGGAGTCAGACCCATAATGGGTATCAGATACTGGTAAAATATTCAACATTGATGTAAGGGTTTTTACCAGCAACATTCCACAGTGTGGCTCAATCCGCAGCTGGCTGTAGTCTGTCTCTACTTTCATTCTTTCACCTGCTATTTATTTGCATCATTGCTGAACATATTGCAAGTGTGTTATTTAATCAGATCCAACATTAACATTCTACAGGTCTGATGTTAAGCGCGGTACAAAGTGAGTGATGCCACCTGTAGTCCAAGTCTCCGTAGATATTCACATTACATTTTGATTTTGAACACATGGAGTATGGTTATAAAGTGATAACTATTTTGATGGGAATGTAAATAAAATGGTGAAATCATGTTAGAATTATGATATTATGGTATTATGATGGTACAAGGTTATGTTAGAAATAACTTTGTAATGTAGGAAATTATTGTAGGAAATTTCGATTTTACTTCCATAACTTTGTATATGTGCTTTCACATTTATTCACTATATATGCATGAAAAAAACCCACCACAATTTGCCTTAAGTTAAGCTGTTACTTTATCCAAAATCATTTTCAATCAAGAGTTTTCAATGTGTTTCATCTACTATAATTTGAAAGCAACTCTATCCTGCTAGATATAAATGGCTTTGAATGTCATTCACTTGGGGAAAATATGTAGTACATATGAATAAGCAATACCTACAATTAACGACTTATGGATCAAATCATTTATGTTTTTAATGTATAGGTTCATACAGCACATTCAGTGACATTTTATGTGTGATGTTTTGATGAATAATACATTATACGTAAACATTTCACTGATTGTGCTATGTAAACATGTATACGATGAACTGAACTGTTTTTAGATTTTTTTGATTTTTTTTTCTATCTCATGAATGTCGTACATTTGAGTAGATTATATATATATATCTTGGTAATATCAATATCATTCTTTTAGATATTGTGTGTTATCTTTAGTTCCCATTCGAGTCTCTGTATAGTCAGAAACATCCCCAGGCTTATACTATCAATGTAGCTGATGTAACACACCCAAGGATTTAACTAACTTTCATTGGTTACTAACGTAAACACAATGTAGTCATTCCATTTCCTTTAGTCTTGAAATTGTAGAACCAGACTGTTTAGCTATTACTTTTCCTTTCCAAATTATAAATATTTCAATAATTATCTATTCTGTTGTTTTAGTAAAAAGGTTAAATTTGTGTCCGCTATGTGTCTGTTTTCTCTCGGTTGTAAAGGGGTTTTCTGAATGTTTAATGATTATGGTATACCAGTGATTATAACATTGAAATTTAAGCAATATTGATACATTTGTGTTTTCTTTCTAAATATATATGTATGTGTGTGCGTGTAGATACTGTGTAAATGTGGCCTGTAATAAACATATTTGTATGTGTTTGTTGACTTGTGTGTACAGTTGGGTGTACATGTGTATATGTGTTGTTTGAAAAGAAGATTTGTCAACATAGTCAAACATAAAATGTAAGTGTGCCTTGGTGTAACTGGAGGCTGGATGAGCTAGAGGTTCCGTGTATGTGTTTACAGAAACCTGGATGAGCTAGAAGTTCTGTGTATGTGTTAACAGAAACCTGGATGAGCTAGAGGTTCTGTGTCTGTGTTTACAGGAACCTGGATGAGCTAGAGGTTCTGTGTATATGTTTCAGAGACCTGGATGAGCTAGAGGTTTCGTGTATGTGTTTACAGGAACCTGAATAAGCTAGAGGTTCTGTGTATGTGTTTCAGAAATCTGGATGAGCTAGAAGTTCTGTGTATGTGTTAACAGAAACCTGGATGAGCTAGAGGTTCCGTGTGTGTGTTTACAGAAACCTGGATGAGCTAGAGGTTCCGTGTATGTGCTTACAGAAACCTGGATGAGCTAGAGGTTCTGTGTATATGTTTCAGAGACCTGGATGAGCTAGAGGTTTCGTGTATGTGTTTACAGGAACCTGAATAAGCTAGAGGTTCTGTGTATGTGTTTCACAAATCTGGATGAGCTAGAGGTTCTGTGTCTGTGTTTACAGGTACCTGGATGAGCTTGAGGTTCCGTGTATGTGTCTACAGGAACCTGAATAAGCTAGAGGTTCTGTGTATGTGTTTCAGAGACCTGGATGAGCTAGAGGTTTCGTGTATGTGTTTACAGGAACCTGAATAAGCTAGAGGTTCTGTGTATGTGTTTCAGAGACCTGGATGAGCTAGAGGTTTCGTGTATGTGTTTACAGGAACCTGAATAAGCTAGAGGTTCTGTGTATGTGTTTCAGAAATCTGGATGAGCTAGAAGTTCTGTGTATGTGTTAACAGAAACCTGGATGAGCTAGAGGTTCTGTGTATATGTTTCAGAGACCTGGATGAGCTAGAGGTTTCGTGTATGTGTTTACAGGAACCTGAATAAGCTAGAGGTTCTGTGTATGTGTTTCACAAATCTGGATGAGCTAGAGGTTCTGTGTCTGTGTTTACAGGAACCTGGATGAGCTAGAGGTTCTGTGTATATGTTTCAGAGACCTGGATGAGCTAGAGGTTTCGTGTATGTGTTTACAGGAACCTGAATAAGCTAGAGGTTCTGTGTATGTGTTTCAGAGACCTGGATGAGCTAGAGGTTTCGTGTATGTGTTTACAGGAACCTGAATAAGCTAGAGGTTCTGTGTATGTGTTTCACAAATCTGGATGAGCTAGAGGTTCTGTGTATGTGTTTACAGAACCCTGGATGAGCTAGAGGTTCTGTGTATGTGCTTACAGAAATCTGGATGAGCTAGAGGTTCTGTGTATGTGTTTACAGAAACCTAGGTGAGCTGGAGGTCCTGTATACTGTATGTGTCGCCACAGTCGGCTGGGTGAACTAGAGGTCCTGTATATACGCTGTGTTGTTACAGGAGGCTAGGTGAACTATAGGCCATGTATATTGGTGTTGTGTTGTAACAGACGGCTTGGTGAGCTACATGTCCTGTATATGTTGTCACAGCTGGTTGGGTGAGCTAGAGGTCCTGTATGTATATGTGTTGTGTTGTTACAAGAGGCTTGGTGAACTAGAGGTCCTGTATATGTGTTGTCACAGCTGGTTGGGTGAGCTAGAGGTCCTGTATGTATATGTGTTGTGTTGTTACAAGAGAATGGGTGAGATGGAGTCCCTGTATATGTTACAGGCAGTTGGGTGAACTAGAGGACCTGTATATATATGTTGTGTTGTTACAGGGGACTGGGTGAGCTATACGACCCTGTTATTCGTGTTGGGTTGTTACATGAGGTTGGATGAACTAGAGGACCTGTATATTTGTGTTGTGTTGTTACAGGTGGTTGGGTGAGCTACAGGCCCTGTTTCTATGTTTTGTTGTTACAGGAAGCTGGGTGAGCTATAGGCCCTGTATATTTGTGTTGTGTTGTTACAGGTGGTTGGGTGAGCTACAGGCCCTGTTTATATGTTTTGTTGTTACAGGAAGCTGGGTGAGCTATAGGCCCTGTATATTTGTGTTGTGTTGTTACAGGTGGTTGGTCGAGCTATAGGCCCTGTATATTTGTTGTGTTGTTACAGACGGTTGGGTGAACTAGAGGCCCTGTATATTTGTGTTGTGTTGTTACAGGAGGCTGGGTGAGATATATGACCTGTATTTGTGCTTTGTTGTTACAGGAGGCTAGGTTAACTATAGGCCCTTCTATATTTGTGTTGTGTTGTTACAGGAGGCTGGGTGAGATATATGACATGTATTTGTGCTTTGTTGTAACAGGAGGCTAGGTTAACTAAAGGCCCTTCTATATTTGGGTTGTGTTGTTACAGGCGGTTGGGTGAACTAGAGGCCCTGTATATATATGTTGTGTTGTTACAGGTGGTTGGTCGAGCTATAGGCCCTGTATATTTGTGTTGTGTTGTTACAGGAGACTGGGTGAGATAGATGACCTGTATTTGTGCTTTGTTGTTACAGGAGGCTAGGTGAGCTATAGGCCCTTCTATATTTGTGTTGTGTTGTTACAGGCGGTTGGGTGAACTAGAGTCCCTGATGGATCGTGTGGAGAACAACACTAAGATCCACCAAGAAAACACGACAGCAGAGCTGCATGACAAACAGGGACAGCTTTCTTCGCTCAAGATAGAGAACGAACGCCTTAAGGTATATAACTATTGTCTTCAATCAGCATCAGTGCCGCAATAGGAATCTTGATCTCTTGAAAGGGTGATTCACACTTAATGAAGAAATATGTGTCACCCCTATGTCTATCTCTAAACATTATCAATTAGAGACTTGCTATAGTAGACTGACAGTTTCGGGTGTTAAAAAGTTTATGCTTAAAATTTTAGTTAATTCACTTCAAATTTGAAATAGAAATGATGAATTATATTCCCTTTCATTTAACCTTCACAGTATGGAATTTCTTTTGAGCAAAAGAGAGAGAGAAAAATGAAAATATTCCAAACCTAGATAGATAATCTGTATATAATTATATAGAAATGGTCCTTTACAAAAATTGATTGAGTTTTTTTCTGTATTCCTCCTGATGTAACCTAGATGGCGTTTTTTTTCTGTATTCCTCCTGATGTAACCTAGAACACAGATATTCTACCTTATTTTATAATTACATTTTTATGTGAGAATTAGAATTCTTTTTCTGATGTATCGTAAGCAGAATTCATGGTCTAGTGGTTTATATTATGGGTTTTGAACATGATATAACCAATGTTTTACTCTTAATATTTCAAGGTACAATGAACTTTAAAATGTTTTTCATCAGTGAATTCTGACACCCAATTTAATACTTAATTTGTTTTTCTCTGGAGAAGTATACATACAGTAGACGTTATAAATAAACCTGTGCTGTGTTTGATCTGTACAGACGTCTATTACTACAATAGAGGAAAAGTTCCGAGCAGCAGATGAGGAGCTGGTTCAACTGCGTGGTAATCTTAAACACTACGAAAACCTGGTGGATGAGTACAAAACTCAGGTATGTGGACAGGCGTGTTGTGTGTCATCCCGACAATCACTCCACCTTATATTACCCCACTGTTACAGTGGCTGGTCAATTAGCATTAGTACTGTACGTGTAAGAGCTAGGAATCTCTAAACTACTGGTGTAGGTGTCGGTTCACTCAACGCCACTTTCAGATGGTGTGAAATAATGTTAGTTTAAACATATTTTTGAAACAGAAAGCAACTCATTTGAATCATGAGATAATAAAAGTCAAATCTCACCAATTGTAGGAAAAATTATCAATTCTCCTTTTCTTTTCTTTTGAATTTAAAGTTTTCTGTGAAAGGTTATGCTAACCTTGCTTAATTCAAACGTGAAGAGATTCCAAGCAATGTAGTTTTTTTTCTAGATTTCTGTAGGTTCATAGATAATTTTACAGAATTTTCATTAGGCATTTCAGTATCACTTTTTTCTCTCGATAGTTTCATCAATTAATTATCAGTAACATCTACATGAAAAGTCAATAAACTTTCTTAAAATGATCTAAACTTCCTATTTTTTTTTTACACATTTTCCTACTTAATTACTGCTTAGAAAACTACATAATTGTAATCGTCATTCATAAAAACTTCAAATATTGGTTCATCAGTCATCTTTAGTCTCTTGTTAGCAATAACATAATTTTCCAACATTACTTGGATAGCATTGGTTTCCACATCATTTCATTGTGTGCTATGACCGAGTTCACTGCCGAGTGGCTAATACTCACTGGGTAGTCTCCCCGTTGTAGATGCGCACTGGGTCTGTACTAAATGTTCCTGAAGTCATAATATGGTCTGTGTTACACTATTCACAATTCAAAAATCTATTGATTAAAAAATATAAGCAATTTATACTGGTTTGTCTAAAAAAAAAAGTATATATATTTTACACATTTCTTGTTTTGGATAGTGTTTCACAGATCTCCAAATGTTCACTAGATTCCCAATTTTTTAAGTATTTTGTATTGGTATCTTGAATAAAACTTTTTTTAATTGTGAATTAACTAATTACCTCCCTTTGTTCCCTGTTTGTGTGTCATTCGTAACCATGGTAACAGGGTGTTTCCATCAGTAAGTTACCTCCCCCTACTGTGTCCAAGGTTACAGTGTCAACTCCTCTCATGACACAAGGCAGTCAGCAGCAGGTATTCTCATTCTTCATCTCATTCAGTGTCACGAAATCTCACCGACTCATGTTTAATTTGCGCATCTGTATATTGTGTCACATTTGTTGTCGTGAGATTGTTCCTGATGTACCGCGTCACATTATACGTGTTGAGGTTATCACATAACTCTGTCTTTGATTGAAACACTGCTCTTTTATTCACATATTACTGACAGTAATGTATTTGATAGTGGTGGTCACTGTTGAATCTTTTTTTCTAAAAAAAAAATTCTCTTAAATTTAGCTAGTTTTTTTTGTTCTCTTAAAACCACAACACTGTTTAAAGATAACAGTTTATGTTTTAATTTATCCTTTAAGTTTTACACAAATTTTGCTATCCTATCTCTAATAACATATTTTCCTAAAGATTTCTTAATTCTCGGAAAAGTATAACTGGATAAAAAAAGGGATCAAAAAATCAGCATTGGATGTATGCATACAACTTGCATGTTACAGAAATATATTAGCAGAGTATTTTTTTCGTGCCAATATTATTGAAATTATTGGCTTACACATGTATAATATATATAAGTAGGCCAATACTTTGAATAATATTGGTCAGAACAAATTTGGACCAGGGAACCATCAAGTTTGTCAGAATCCAGCATTTGATATGCAACAGAGCTCAGAAACTTTCAATATATTATTTGAGTTGAACTTCTTGATCTGTCCTGTTAAAGCAGTGAACATGTGAATACCAAAAGGAAAACAATTTGTCCAATAAAATATTTCTTTTCTTTATTATGGGTAAAAAAAGTCTATATAAATAGCTAGACTTTATTGCTCTATGCATGTCTATGGTATAATTTTCTAAAATATACTATATACCCACAATATTTATGATGAAATATTTGATGCATGCTTGCATTTGGGACAAACATGCAACTGACTCAGCATGAATTAGTAGGCATCAGCCAGTTGCTTGAATGGCAGTCTGTCAGCCAGATGCTTGAATGGCAGTCTGTGTTAGCCAGATGCTTGTTTTCCAGATGAACCGCTGTCGGATTGAAGCAGATGACACAATGGTACGTTTGGAAGAAACTGTAAAAGAATCGGAGCTTATCCAGGAAGATGGAGAATATGAATTAGAAAAGGCAAGGGAAATAACTACACAACATAATTATAACCAGTTAACACGGGAAATCGTAATTTTGAAGGAAACAAATGTAATTTAATTGTTTCTGCATGGTGTTTTTCTAAAGTGCCATTATGCTATTTATTATGTTTTGTGTTGATGCAAAGAAATGTTATTCATTGGTAATTCTCATGGGATAATTTAAAAACTGGGCCCAAATCCAAACCACGACAGCAAAACTGTTACCATGATGAAAATTTATCCTTGTGTGCTTTTTGCTTTAGTTAAAGGCGTTTTAATGTGGGCAAATATCAGAAGAACACGATATACATCATACATTTCTCTTTTCTGCATGTTTATGTGTTCATTTGCCCAAGTTAAAACAGCTGGCTATTAGTCCCCTTAGAATGTTTGTTACTAATTTATTGGTGTGTTGTAGTAAGATATGCATGCTTAGTTCACATATATCACACTGTTTTATTAACAATTTACTATGCACGACTGTTCATGTTCATCAGACACCAGTCACGGAAAGTGAGCATTGCTGAAGGTTCAATTATGTAACACAAACTTCCTGTAGTGGCTTGTGTCTGATGATGTTACTAAATCATTCCAACCCGTCTTCTCACAAACTTTGCCGAGGTTAAAGTTGTTCAGCCTTTTGATATTGGATTAAAACGACCATATTGGTCGTTATTACATAAATACAAAATTGATCTAATAATCAGGGGTATGACTCCCATCTTTAAAACATTCCAACCCGTCTTCTCACAAACTTTGCTGAGGTTAAAGTTGTTAAGCCTTTTGATATTGGATTAAAACGACCATATTGGTCGTTATTACATAAATACAAAATTGATCTAATAATCAGGGGTATGACTCCTGGCCATCCTCAAAATGAAATGAAAAACTAAACTTTCTGATTGTAAAATAATTTCATGATTAATCTTATTGATATTTATTAGGTATTTTTATTTTAAATAGAGAAAAAATTGGAAAGTTGTACTGTAGGCTATCTATAGACAGCTGTAGTTGGAATGTTATATTTTTATTATTAACAACTGTATAACAGTGCTGACAACCTTTTTTCATTTACTTCACATGGTATTTGTTATTAGTAATACTACATGTTTTAGTCATTAAAGTTCATTTACTTGTGATTTACATTCAATATCAATTGATAATAATTGAAAGAAAATTCAAAACAATAACAGGTTACAGCATAAAGCTTGTTATGGTCATTCTACATACACGTACACACATATGCATGTATACTTCACATATTGATATATCAAAAATATTGATGAAATGGCTTGAAATAACCTGTCAGCAGTCAAATCATTATTCACAAGTGTACAATCATGAAGATAAAGTTTGAAAATATCTCCATTCTTGGATTTATAAAGGTGGCATCTCATTTGCAGATTACAGTGTGCCTAACTGCTGTAAAATATAGACGTTCTTTTCAACTAATATATGTTGCTCAGTTTTCATTACTGGTATTTTTTCCATGAGAAATCAATTAATGTGTTATAATTTATCCATATCATTTTCTTATAATTCATCCGTGTTCAGTGCATAACTAGTCTAGATGATTGCAAACTTTCATGTTTATACTTCGACTGTTACTTAATATTCTTCAATGCCCAGACTAATTCTTCTTTGCAGAGTATAACAGTACATGTATTTATATTATAATCTATTGGTTTCTATAAACTTCCGGTATATACAGACATTATCTATGAATTTGGTACCACGTAACAATTCTTTTCCTAACCCTGTTTCTCATTTCTGTATTATTCATGAAGGGTACTACATTTTCCCATTGTTTTCATCAGTCCATGCCATCTGTCACACCTACCTATACCACAGCAACAGGACCAGTGCCTGAGGGTGGGGCTCCATACTACCCCATCTCCCAGCAACATCCGGGACAAGGTGTTCCACAGTCCCAGGGGGGTGGGGGACCATATTATTCTCATCCCGGGACCCAGACGTCAGTGGTTGGTGGGGGTCTATTTCCACCCCAACATGGGACACCTATAGGTGTAGGGGGAGGGTCTTACTACCAGCCACCCTCAGGCACTGGGCCCCAGTCTGTGTATGGGTACGAGGGGGTCGGGCAGAGCCACCCCGGGGTAAGTGTATATGTGTTCACAATTGAATGATCCTTCACAGCGAATCGTTTATTTCATCAGCTCATCTTCCTTTCATGAATTCATCCACAAGTCACTGAATGTTCTCAATCCATAGGGAGGTTGATTTCCTCGTCAAAAATCACTGACAGCATTTTGTCATCTGTCTTTTAGGTATGACACTGGTACATGTGATTGGTTGTTTGAACAACGTATATATCAGCCAATCAAAGCATATTTTGTGTTCATTGCCTCACTTGTGACTCTCCCGTTCCAGTTATTCACTTCAATTGTCTGAATGTCAGTTATTTTTTTGTCTTTCTGAAAGCGGTAATATTTAAATAGATAATCCACATTTAAGCATGTTCACATTACATTAAGTGTTTAGCTTTCCGACTATAAGACTTAGAAATTGTTTTGGTCTTGTGAATGTTGCATGGTAACAAGTTATCTGGTTTTCTATCTAAGACAAACAGCTGTTTTGTGGAACTTTAATAATACTGGACTGTAGCATTCACATTCAGATTTCTGCATCATCTTAAGGGAGCTATAACATTATCAATATTTTTTTCTATTGACCATTACAAATTTTGTATACATGTCATGATCTTGGGATTAGGTTGGTATCTTGTATGAACCAATCTTCTATCTATTATAATTCATTCTGCACTACAGTTCTGGCCTGAAGTGAAGGTCACATAAATATGTGTGACAGATTATAATCTATAATTAGCTTTAGTAGGTCAAAAGTCAAGGTTAAAAGATATGCAAAAACATTGGATACATGATATACTTATAATAAGCTTGATTGCTTTACCCTTTCACCACTGTAGACCATAATGGACTCATCCATATCAATACATGGTAGAGTCTACTAAAGTTACATAGGGGTGAGTGAATATCGTAAAATAGAATGACAAGTTTGGCATTTGTGCACATCATGTACGGTAGCACACTCAGTGTGCTAGATTACACAACATGTTGTGTAGTTATAATGAATTGGTGGAGGATAATACATTCAGCATGCCAACTGTGTTTTGTGTTACCATTACTATCAACATTGCATAATGCATGCATTTCTAATCACTATATAATAAACAAAATGCATAATTACGCATTGCAAAAAAAATCATGATTTTGCCAAATATTTAGAATTTTATAAGGTAGCTATAGCAGTATACAGTAGAAATGGCCCGACTCTGATAAACAAGGCACATGTCGAGGAAATGTAAACACATGTATACATGTATATATATTTGGAAACTGCATTACATTTACAATACATATAAAGTACTGAGAAGTGTATAAACCTCTTTTTTCTGTGTATGTTACTTGTGTGAAAACCATGGTAACCACATCAAAAATTACCAAAAAATGCCAAAAATTGCTATTTTTGACCCAAAATTTGACCCCTGCAACTAGTTATTTTTTTCCTAAGTTTTGTCTGAAATTAAAGATTACCTACTTGGTTGCAGAATTATCTGGGTCCCAGTAAAGTTGTCAAACTTGTTTTTTTGCAATTTTGCGTTGTGTGCTGTTGTCAATATTTTACCTCCTGTAAAGCTAGCTTTTCATGTGTAGGCACCCTTTCGGATTATTTTTTTTTACAAATGTGAAGCTCACATATAGCGCACTTCATCATGCTTATACCAATTTTAGTACAGTTTTATTTTTATATTTTTTTTACACATCATTAAACAGGGGTTAGCCATTTAACAAAAATATCACCCATGGCCACAACGTACCCTCTACTGTATACTGCTACCTAAGTATAACATACAAATCCGTTGATTATTTCCTGTCATTATCTTACAGGTATCAAATATCAGGTATGAATATCTGATGGTAATATAATGTTCTATTAAACTTTCTTTTGTCTTAAAACTTACCATATTGTCTTGAGGAGTGCAAAAGTTATGTCATGTCATATATGTGTTTCATGAAACCGTGCTTGTTGATGTTTTATCCAGGTATACAACATCGCTGTTCGGCTTATCAAGCTAGTCATTGAACCTTTCATACTGTAACTTTTCCTTTTCCTCATATCAGTCCAACCAAGAAATCTCTGTAGTCCTTGAAATACATGTACTATCCCTATTATATCAAATCCATAACTGTGTGTATTTGTAGAGGATGTGTAACTGTTTTTCTTTACATTCTTCAGAAGTGTTAGCTGTACAATCAATTGTTTATATTGAAATTGAATTGGAATTGAGCAAAAATATTTTCAAACATTTATGCTTATTATGACCAAAAAATCATTTACATGCATTTTGAATGGGTGTAACTGATTTGAATTCATTCTTGCTTGAACTTAAAAACTGCTTTTCAATGAATATATATCCACATTCTAAATTTGTAGTTTTCAGTGATCTATAAACATAAATATTCTTGATATTTGTGATATTGAAACAAAAAAACTATCATGAGTGTAAAACAACATTGCTGGAACAGCCAAACATCATCTGAATGTTTGTTATATACATTACAATGGTCTCTTTTCAATTGGAAACCTTGACATGGCAACGATCAAATTCCATTTAGAGCCTCATGAATGCAATATCTTTTGGTAGAGTTTATATAGGGATGCAGAAAATAAAGTTGGATACATACAGTCTAGTTAAGTGAGTGGTTTGTGTTGCCTACAGGTGAAGGCGAGGCTCCACAACCGCCTACAGGAGCTGGAGCCGCTGCCCGACATGCTCAAAACTACAGAACTCAAACTCCATGATGCAAATGAACGGATCATCATGTATGAACGGAAAAATACAGAAAACACCAAACTCATCACTGAGTTAACTGCCAAGGTAGGTACATCACTTGTTGCGAATTTGTAAAAGGCGAAGTTTGAATTGCTAGTGTAATGGCAGATCTGATCTACATTATAGATGTATGTAATGGCAGATCTGATCTACATAATAGATGTATGTAATGGCAGAGCTGATCTACATAATAGATGTATGTAATGGCAGATCTGATCTACGTTATAGATGTATGTAATGGCAGATCGGTCATTCTCCCACCATTCACAGAACTGTCTCCCTTTTACCGGTTCTTGGTTTCTTTGTCACCCTGGGGATAAGATAGTTACATGTAGCATTTTAAGAAAAACAATACTATGATGTCGCACGACCAATAAAAATTACACTGAATTCAGCTTTCCACAGAAGAGGTCATATGCAAATTGGGTTAAAAAAAAATAGATTACAAATGCTGAAAACCATTTTTTTTTTTCAATAAAAGTGTTGAAAGGATTGATATAAGGAAATTAAAGAATCATCCCCTAAAGTGAAGGTCTGTCAAAGAAATCTCAACCCTCAGGATTAGATTATTGAATGTCTAACCCTTGGATGAAAACAAGCCCTTAGGTTACACAATGAAGAATATCAACCCTCAGGTTAACATTTTTCTGTGAATTACCCTCATTGTAGTTGAAGATTCTATTTATCAACATCATACAATACTTCTTTTGAAAGTATTGCTATTGTGATGCTGAAATCTGATGATAATTGTTCAGAGTAAGCCTGTCTTTCACATGCTGAAATTCCAGGGTTACCTAGACCATATAAAAGACTGCGACTTATTTTAAAAACTGATGTCATTTTGAAGTGCATTTAGGCTGTCTTGAGACTGTGATTATGATTGGCGTATACTTTCACAAAATCATATCATCAACTAAAGACATGTTCCATAATGCTAACACTGACCCAGTATCGGGTTTATATTTGAATTACTAACTTCTCCCAACTGCATGGTCATTGCATGGCTACTGCATTCTGTCCAGTTCTACTAGCAGTTACACTGTGATGCAGTCCAGCAGTCCTCGGAGATACCGTTTGTTTTTCATTCTGATCAATATATTTGATGTATTGTTGTTTAAAAGAATGAAAAAATGTAGATAATGCTACGTAAAATGTATCTTGATGGTTTCATGTATTGCAAAGTCCCTGCTATCTTGTTAAGTACTGGTATTCAGAGTCCATTGTAACTATTTTTGGATTGCATGGTTGTGTTGTACCTGAATGTCAATGTGTATAAACTATTGTTTCATCAGAAACAAAAAGTAAAACGTTTACTCTTGTATGTTACTGTTGCAGTGTATATATGTTATATTCTAACTCAAATTTCGTTAAAAACAAGAGGGAAAGTTTGGTGTGAAGTAAAATCATTTGATCATACTTCTGTCTAACAATCATTTTCAGTCTGAGATTTCCACAGACAAGGTAATTCAAAAGTGATGCTAAACGAGTGAAATTGCCTTCTCCATTTTTAACTTCCATATTTTTTTCATAACTCATTTTATCCATATTTAATGTCACATGTATTAACCTACTAAACTTTTACGCTAGCTAGATATTGACTGTGTCCAATGAAACAGTTTAAGTTTTGTTAAAGCCTACTTTTGCAAGCCTTCGAAAACTTCTGTTTCCTTTGTCAAGCAAACAGTTTAAATGCCACCTAGGCTCAGCGAGACACCGGTCATTTACACTCTTTGCTTGACAAAAGAAAAAGACATTTTCTAAGTCTCGCAAAGTAAGTTTTCAATTCCTGTTTGTGTTCAAAACAAACTTAGCCTTTATTATTCATACCAACTGATGAATCTGATTCTGAAGTTTAAGTTTACGTAAGTTTGACTGATTTGAAGATTAAGCATTAAGCATAAAAAGTTGTGAACCAACAGATCAAGATCTGCTGGTAGATCTACAGACACAAAATGTTAGGTAGTGCATATTGGGTATTAGCAATGGGCAAGGGTCAAAGGGCAAATGGTGAAGGTCAAAGGTAAAGGCTACATCATTTCCTGCATGTTGATATTTGAATGACTATATATTAGGATAACATAAATAGGAATGACTGGAAATCAAAATTTAGTTTATGCATGTGGCAGTGTGATAGAATCTTCATAGTTTGTAGTGCAAGGAATTGTTTGACAGAATCTTAATAGTTTGTAGTGCAAGGAATTGTTTGACAGAATCTTAATAGTTTGTAGTGCAAGGAATTGTTTGACATGAATTAAGAAAATTTCAATTGAATCTTCCATTATAATTTGCAGTGTGCTTACAATTTAGTTGGAGTGTGTCATTTCTTAACAGTAATTTTTAACCAGTGATGACAGTGATCAGTTAATTGTTTGCAAAAGTTGATTGCTAGTTTGATCGATTGCTGTTCTGTCATTGAAAACAATCACTCATATTGTAATATTATTAATGCATTCTCATTCCCAATCATTATCACAGTCATTAATAGTACAGTATCAGATTGGAATTGGTGCATTTGTAGCTGATTATTTCTGAACAGAGTTATTGCCCCTTATCTGGAAGCGGGAGAGTTCCTAGCTTAATCATCTTTCCCCATTTCAACTTCTTCGTGATGAAACCCTTAACTAAACGACCTTTTTAACTCGGACAGGAACTTGTGGAGTGGAAGTGAAGTATGATTTTCATGATAAAGTTGTTTCTATTAAAGATGTTGGTTTGTGCTTCTTTAGCAATTGTGAATATACATATCTGGTGTAGGTAGTCACAGAGTCACACTATGAATTTCCGGTAGTAACAGTTCTGATTTGTTGTCTGACCAGGTGGAGCACGTATCTGACACGCTGGAACAGATGCGATCCAAATGTCACGACATGCAGGATGACAATCGCCTCCTTCAGGGAAAAGTCGAGTCCGTGGAAAGGTAAGCTGCCACTATTAACATTACTATATAAATACCTATACATTTGGGGACTGGTACTTTTGATACTGTTTCAAAGAGCTGGAGGCAAAAGCAAATTAAGTCAATGTTGCCTCCTTCCTAATTCTTTCTAATTAATTGATCAGTGCCCGACATGCTATTACTATGTATTTGGTTGGATTACATTTATTTGCCATTACCCAGGTACTATATATTTGGTTGGGTTACACAGTGTTAATGCCATACAAATGTAAACTTCCATGTTTTCAATGAAATAATAATTTCAATAATTTGATGACCAGGTATAAGTTATCAACAAAAATGTGAAAAAAATCTACATTGTATTCCTCATGAAGGCGATTTAGTGTACAGAAGAAAACATCAAAGAACTTCCCATAATTGCACATGTAAACAAACTTTCTGGTCCTCGGCTTATAAAAAGGTTACTGTTATAAACTGTATTATAAATTGATTGTGTAACAGGAAGCTACATGATGCTGAAGACCACTGCCGAGAGATGATGACAGCTGTAGCCAAAGCTGAGGAGACTGCCCATCAGCAAAACGTGAGTCAAGTCAACACCATCCTTGATACTCCAGGGATAACGCTCACTTATGCTCCCCTGGAATATGTCATAGCAAAATCGCAGGCTCAGTGTGCACCACGTTGTGGATGAAACGAGAAGACAAGTCTGATCCTTTGATGTACATCAATAGAATCTGTCGTTTGCGAAACAGTAGAATTGACAGGTTTTGAAGTCAGTTGTCGCGCGCCCCTCTGTATTAAATCTTCAAAGGACAGGTACTAGCCTAGTGATTGATCAGGTGTTTTTTACCCGAGACCAATCAAATAGCTAGCTGTGCATGCCTTCTATTTTGCTATGACATATTTCAACACCAGATGGAACATTGTACCAATATCAGTCTGGTGGGGAATGAAAAAAACTCCTGTATATAGCATACTTTAGAGATGAAGCATGATTCTAGCTAAAAATAAATTATCGGAAAAGATCTTTGTTAGGTACCATTATCAATCTTGAATTCAAAACTGTTACTGTGCTAATTGTCAAAGGCTTTTTACCTTAGATATATGTATCGTAGTAATTTTATATCTGATTGCAATACACCTAGACTAGAAAATTCAGAAACTTTCCCTGATTAGCTTTGATGTTGGTGTGCATTTCTCTTTATTAAATCATTAGAATATTCTTGAAAAATCGAAAGTGATTCTGATTGTGATTTTTGAATACGAATAGAACAGTTGCGAGTGTTTCCATTGGTTCACAGTTTCAAAAATACATCTTGCTTGTGTTTAAACTTTACACTTTTGAAATTTCAGTTACGCCTGGAAGAGAAGAATCGTGAGAATGCCAGTCTGACCAGGCAGTTAGAGAATGCTTTGTCAGATATAAGGCGCCAGAATGACCAGAGTAGAGACAAAGCTTCACAAAAGGTAGGCATGTGGACCTTCTAGAGTTGTGTCCTGTTAAAATGCCATGTGGAACAGGTACAATTAGTTTTGAATGATATATATACAATAAATGTATACGATGGTTGGGTGGCGCAGAGTAAAATACACATGCCATTCACCAAAAGGGCCATGATTTGATACCCCAATTGGAGGTTGAAAGGAATGGGGTCACCTGTCAAACAACATGGGTTTTCTTTGGGTAGTCCGGTGTCCGGTCCGTCCGACCCGTCCTTCCCCCCCGTCCCCCCATGGGTTTTCTCTGGGTAGTCCGGTCGTCCCCCCCAAGACCCTCCACACGCTAACAACCGGGCTAACAGGACTGATTAATATAAGTTGATATAGCTTGTTTTAATACTTGTGCTAAAATATATACAGTTTGTATATATAGATGTACATTGTATATAGTACGCTCTATAAGTAGAAAAATTAAAAATAAATAAATGAATGATGCCCAGGAAATAATACAAGTATAAGTTTCCCCACAGAGTTTTCATTCATAAACATAATAAAAAATCTGACTCGTTTGGTTAACTTCGTCATTTGGTTAAATTTATAAATGTCTTCTGGCTTGACCATTGTAGAATTGTCCAGATATTTTGATTTAAGCCAAACTAAATCATTGATATATTAACATGCAAAAATCATCAGAAATCCCTTGTATAATTGTTTTCATTCGTTTTTCAGGAGCGTACTTACCTGACCAGAATAACTGACCTGGAGTCACAAATCAGTCAGTGTAGGGCAGAGATTGCCCGACTCAAACGGGAAAAAGAGGAGGTAAATAAAAATGACCTATATCTATCTGTCAATCATGTTATTTTATTTAACTACAAGTAATTACCGCTTTCTGCATTGGTGCTATCTTCAAAGAAGTTATAAAGGAAAAGATTTAAAAGATTGGGTAAAGGACTAGGAACGTTACAGGTCATTTCCGGCCTCATCTGGGATTTAGCATTAGTTGTTATATTCAAAATCTTAGAAAATGAAGAACACAAAGATGATATTGTGCACTATTTACGTTGAAAATTACCCATAATGCCCCAAGTCCTTTATTACACGAGAAAATTTACAAATATAAGAATTATAGTAATTCTTTTGTTATTTCATATTTCATATATCTAATATAAGTTCTACATTTTCAGAATGAGAGAAAGTTCAACTCCAGATTATATGACCTCAAAGATCGTCTCGAGCAGAGCCACAGTACCAACAGGAGTATGCAAAACTATGTACAATTTCTGAAAAATTCCTATGCCAACGTATTTGGAGAAAGCTCTATATCATATCCGTCAACACCAGGACTTCCCTGAAACAGACTTTAGCTAGAGATAATCATATCCATCAACACCAGGACTTCCCTGAAACAGACTTTAGCTAGAGATTATAATGAGTTATTAGTCGGGTGAAAGCATTATTTATTATCAAAGTGCCAGTTAAACACTGTTATTTTATAGTAACTGAACACAAGAAAATTTGTTTTGAAGTGGGTTGGATGACATTCCGTTTTTCTAACAATTGTATTGATGGGAAGGTTGACTGAATGTGTAATGTTTTGGTTCAAGGAAAAAACGTTAACCTGTGTCCTCCGTCTTTTTTAGCGGTAGAGTTGTTTCAGTTCTTAAAGGCCATATTCACTCAAACAAAGTAATTTAGGTTAAGTGGACATTGTTCCTCTTTTGTAAATTTAGATACAAAACTTAATGCAGAGAATTCAGTCTGTATTGAAACATATACATGGTAGCGTATAGACGTAAGTGCTAGTCGAAGTCTAATTAGATCTGAGGAAGGCATTATCCTTGTATACACACATTGTCCGTCCATTTATGATATGACCATTGGATATTCCATGGAGTTCAGCTGGACTACAGATTCCATTATTCAGATTTCATAAAACATTTGGTAGTAGGAGAAAACAGTTTGATACGATGAATTCAAAGTCAACTACAGCACTTCAATTTATTTATTTATTCATGTTATTTAAATCAAGATTATCAAGTTCATTGCTCCTCTTGCCTGTGAAATGAACACAAAAGAACATGTTCAAACCAGATCTTTTATTTGTGCAAGTGGTATGTTTCAAATTTTGAAGTCATTTACAGCATCAGATGTATTCTTTGATGTTGATTAAAAAGCCATTTCTTCATTTGATTTTAACATCTCGTGCCAATGTTGGGTAAAACAAAATCTTGCATTTTTTTCTCCAATCATAGATATTCATTAGAAAAATTGTTTGTCCACAAACGTGTATTACAGATCTGAAGTAAAAGGGGGGTTAGTAAATTATAAAAAAAAATTGGAATGAAAATAACTTAAAAAATTCATTCTGTTGACTGTGATATTTCCTTTGAATTCCGTGTCTTGTACATAATTTATTATACAATTTTATTATTTACATATACATAATGTTCTTATCATGACATCATAATACCAGCAACATGGTAAGCTCATCAACGCTGTAATGACAGCACCCTGCAGCAGATAATTTATTTGAAAAATAATCGTTGTAATAAACGAAGAGTCACAATCATGCTTTATACTTTATTGTAAAATAATGTATGTTTTAGACAATTAGTTTCCTACTTTCTTCAATCATCTGTACCAAAGGACTTGAATGTCAATATTAAATCAGTACTTGAGCATTCGTTATATTACTGTCGATGGCACCTGTGGTATAGGATTAGGTGATTAACATGTAAGATGGCTCATTATAGACGGATTGAGACTTTCATTCCTTTAGAATTTTGAAATGGAACAAGTGGTTCACATTTACATGTTCTGAAACAGATTCAGTTTTATTAGTATTGCTATAATGAGCTGTTTTTAAAACAGTCTGTTGTGTAAGAAACATGAAGTATAGCGTGCAGCATTTTTTTAGCCCTTGGAACTTGTTAAACTTCAAAAAATTTGTTTTGATATAAAGCTTCATTCCATTGTCATGGTAACATTTTGAAGATCAAATCGAAAAGTAGATAATTTACTTCTCATTTGTTATGGATTCTACAATGAAAATTAAAAACATGTTATTGTTGGTTATAGACTTTTCACAATTTCACAATTACCGAATTTTTGGAAATGTATGAAAACGTAAGCATTTTAGTGTGCTACAGGCCTAGGTTCATATATACCAGTACGAAATCATGGATAAAGGTGAAATTGTCCAACATTTAAAAAAATCATTTATGCTAATCACAACATTACTTCTCAAGTCTCCATGGTGCTTCAGGTTCAAACTGACCTCTAAATCAAACATCACACTGACCAAGAAGAAGAGTTTTCACAAGACCCACCCAAATTGCTTGGGTAGGATGTATGGGTAAAAAAATATCATTTTCATTACATGACCATACTTTTGAATGCATTATGTTAAACAGCATTGTTTTACCTTAAATCATTTTTATAACAATAGGCAGGATGCATTTTAATTTTGAACATTCTTTTTTAGAAAACTATATATATCTTCGAACTTGTGTACCATATTGTAATATAGTACAGCAATAAACTGTATAAAATGGAGCTATTGTGTGATGTTATCATTCCTTACCTTAATTATAAGGGGGCCTGCATTGGAGATGTGGCTGCGCTATAGTAAACATTGTGTCTGTCCATCCATATTTTCCTTTCCTGAGATTATCTCTGATCCAAAAGACTAAGGTCAAGGTCACTGCTACTAAAAATCCCAATGGCTATCATTTTAAAATTTGACTTGGTAATATAATGAACAAGATTGGTTCAATAGCTTTTTAAGACCAATGTCTATGTCACTGTTGTTACTAAAAATAGACCATTGCTGAGTTGTCCTGTTCTAGTTTTAGCTATAATCACCATTCACACAAAGAATTAAAATGAATGTGGAAATGTGCTAAAAGGCTAACATGGATACTGAAAAATAATTTCTTTGAATTTAATTTGCGATTGATTTCATTTTGGAATTCAAGTTTAGCCTTTGAACATTTTTTTTCCAGTGTTATTGTATCTAATTTCACTTGACTCATGACTGATTTTAACTTTTGATAATGAAATATGGATGGGATAGTTTTATTAGTTTGCGATCTCAGTAGCGGGTGTGGCTACTTCGTTCTGCAATAGCATTACACTATAAACACATAGTTGGTGAAATGTTTTCTGCAGTGTTCTGCTGTTCCTCCTATTCCAAGTTCTTGACCTTCCGAATCATCCCAAATAGGTTCTCCTGGTGAAAGGTCGGACAGTCTGACAAAATCACGTTTTGTTGATGAAGGAATGCTCTGGCCACACGACAAGTGTATTGAGATATTATTTATGCTGGAGAATGACCCATAGTCTGTAAGAAAGTGAAAACAGCAGTGACTTAAGATAAACCTTTACGTTTTCTGTTAATAACCATCCATTTTTTGCGTCTAACGTCATTGCAGGTCACACAAATGGATGAAAAATTTCGTTGAAAAAAGCTCTTCGACGGGGAACGATTAATACCCCGCTAATAAAGATTAATTAAGTAGAATAAACAAACTGCAAACGGTGCTACCTTTCCCTCATCGGTTGAGTACATGTATATGAGATGATTATGATTAGCAAGTTCAAACATCTTGATTGCGGAACCTTCGACTTGTCAACTGAATCTGTTAATAAACACTTTACCATACTGACTGAGTCTGAAATACCTAGCATCCCAGTGTCCAGATAACACACACAGAAGAATACCTGCAACTTCATACAGGGATATAGTTCTATGAGCATTGTGGTCCAATTTTAAAGACTTTTATTTATAAAACAAAAGTAGAAAGTGATTACTTCATCGACATATTGCTTTAAGAGATAAACAAATGCTTCAAAAAACTTTAAGAAGTGCTGTCATTGGTCAATTTTCCACGATACATTTATTGGATGGCCACCAATGTTGTGGAAATATCGGCGTTCCTTTGCCTCCATCTATTGATGGGACCGAAAATCCAAATATTGAATTACACTGCATCAAGCCAAAAAATGCATGCCTTTTTGATGACTATGAATAGATTTTAGCTTCTATTGCAATTCTCGCAATGCTGACATGACCCTTATCACAAGGTTAAACCTGTGTTAGCCTTAGTAAATACAACTTTTAAGGAGGCTTGTGATCTGGATCGTGATGTAACGTTGGATGAAAGTAGAATCTGACACGCAATACACACTTTGCAATCAACTGCCTGCTCAAACTCATAGTCTCAATATTCTTTTTTTCAGTTTATTTTCATGCTGTTTTATATTGTTTATCGTCCTATCAACAGCTAAGTGCCTTTAAGAAGTGCCGTGCCTCCATGTGTGTAATGTATGTGTGTCGGAGGGAGGATATGTTGGTGTAATTGCCTCCTTGCGATAGCGCAGATCTGATTCCGACTTTATAGTGCTGCCTCACTGAAATACCACGCTGAAGGCACTTGGCATAACTTTCCGCCCGATCACAGGTCCTGACAACGGGTGTACCAGTTGTTGCAATTACCCAAAATACTGAACGTTATGCAGGAATAACAACCACCACTTATAAGGACTTTGGTATGCCCTGCCTGGGGACTGAACCCATTGCCTTCCTCACCTGGGCGAACGTGCAACATCCAAGCCAAAAACGAGGTATTGCAAAGCAAGGCACTAGGATTGAAACTGTAGTTAGAAGCAGAGAGAAATACAAAAATCCCCAAAACTGCAAGGGGTGCAACAGATTAATTTTGGTGGCCTTTGTGTCCCCAGGTAAAGGGCACAAACGCAAGCCAACCAATTCTGCACGGGATTCCCACATTAGTAGCCTTTTAAGAGCATGCAGTGGGTTTCAGCAGGTGAATTATTTTCTAAATCTCCGACCTCCAGTGGTGATATTCTTTGAACGGCAATTTGAATGTCTGTGCCGTTATGAATACAAGTTGGCTACAGACATTTTCCATTAGTATTTAGTAGGAACAATCTAGTGCTTCAAATAAACCAAAAATACTAACTAATATAATGGGTAATGTTGACAATGTAGCAGTTTATTGCATTTAGCACCATCGTTCCAAAGTGTGCATGGAATCATGGATAGCGACAAGCATTTTATTTAATCCATACATACATTTAATCAATCACACCCAATTTTTCTGTCAAAATTGCAGCCGTGGTAAATGCAATTGATGGTTGTTCGGGAGTGGGTTTCTCACTTTCTCACGTTTTTCAAAAGCCATGGTTACCGCAGGTATTGTTTATTCGGAAGTGGGGGTTTACGGCGTTCGTTTTGGTGTTTTTTTAGGGAATCGGGATTCTTTGCCGTGGTAACCGCAGTTGTTGGTTGTTGTTGAACTGGTGAATACAGCACTTTTTTCGAAGTTAGTTGCCTAATTCTTAAAAGTGATAAATCTGGCCATCTGGGTTATGAAAGAACGATTTACAAGCAGCATCTTTTCTTACACATTGTGTTGATGGTATCTTCCAGAGCCGGTTGGTATCATAGGAAGTAATCGTTTTTGTAATAACGTCCTGATAAAACTTCACTTGTGAGTCTACAACGGAACATAATGACTCAAGATTTATTCATAATCTCATAAACCTAGAAAGATAACTGTAAATATCATATAATATGCTTCATCAATCTTTTTCGACGACGAACTTTTATAAATAATGTTTTAAAATGTGTAATGCATGATAATTATATTTCAAAAGGAAGCATAGTAAAGGTATTGCAAGATAGTTCATGGTACATGTAGCAAAGCTGCTTACATCAAACTCGCAGTTAGTGTACTTACCTTAGGCCAGTGAAAGTAGAAATAGAACATATGGACACATACAATAACTAAATATAAGATACATCATTTTTAATTCTATGTAACTTATTATTTTATAATATTGTAATGCATTTCGTCGATGTTCAAATGAGTACATAGCTGTATGCAGATTTTCGCTATTAACCCCATCAGTTATCCCATATTAAGGGCGACGGTACTGTAACATTCCTATTTCGATGTGATTTTAATCAATTTTAACAGCAGCCAAATGGGGCCGCGGTGGTTAAGGCGTCTGACCGGCTGCTACCACTAGCCCTCCACCACTGGGTCGCGGGTTCGAGTCCTACGTGGGGCAATCGCCAGATACTGGCTGTAGGTCGGTGGTTTTTTCCCCGGGAATACCGGCTTTCCTCCACCACCAAAACCTGGCACGTCCTTAAATGACCATAGCTGTACGCTGTTAATAGGACGTAAAACACAAACATACCAAATCCGCAGCTAGTGTCATATGAACCATTCCCTCAACCGATGATGGTTGGTTTGCATGTTGGTGATGTATATCGTCGGTTAGTTTTATCTTTTAACACAACGTCAAGTATCCCTCGTGCATAGTTATAGGTCCTTGGCGATCGATGTATTTGTTATAAAACACCCACCACAATTTTACCATACTCAATAGCGTAGTTTATTAGACGGTAAAGGCAAGGAAAGCAGCTAAACTCTTCCAATTAGCTTATAAATGTTGCTAAAATGATAGGTCACTGTTGGGCATACTGCATGATGTTATGACAATTAAGATTTTGTGTTTCATTGTACATCTATACCTTTCAAAAGTATACAGTATTTTATTCGCTGTGCAAATTTATATTTTAAAGATGAGACACACATATTTGATTGCACTCCGGGGACTCATCGGTGACGATGGAGGGGCCAAAAAGTTGGAAATTCATGTATTTAAAAAAAAAATCACAATTTCAGTTAACCCGGCCGATTGGCTATGAGTTCTGTAAAATCTTAAACGTTTAAAACAAAACTGACTAGTATCACGTGTACACACAAAGTTGAAGGTAATTTTTAGAGCGTGATTTTAACCCGTAAAGCTTGTTTGTATCTTACCCGTCTTAAAGCATGCACTGATTTTGGTGATATCGTTTACTTTGTGTGATACGAAGGTCGACGGTTATGATTTTACTTATGATCATGAGTTCACCTTGTTGTTGTGTTCTCACTACCCCAATTCTTGATATTCTTATTTTCCTTAAACTTCTACAATCCCTATGAGAACATCTCCTTTGTTTATTTTTTGCC